GGGTGGGGTTGCCCGGGGGGTGGGGGGTTGCCCGGGGGGGTTGCCCGGGGGTGGGGGGTTGCCCGGGGGGGTTGCCCGGGGGGTGGGGGGTTTGCCCGGGGGGGTTGCCCGTGGGGGTGGGGGGGGCTGGTCCCTGGCCCCGGGGCGGCCTGGGGGGGCGGTGAGGACCCGGCGCGGGTGGACCATACCCGGGACCATCTGGTGCGGAGCCGGAGACTCGGCGGAGAGCTTCACTGATCTCGGTGAGGGGTGAGAGGGGGGAGTGGGGTGAGGGGGGGAGTGGGTGAGGGAGTGGGGGTGGGGGGGGGAGGGGGGAGGGGGGGAGTGGGTGAGGGGGGAGGGGGGGAGTGGGGGGGGGGGGGGGAGGGGGGAGTGGGTGAGGGGGGGAGTGGGTGAGGGGGGAGGGGGTGAGTGGGGGGAGGGGGGGGGAGGAGGGGAGTGGGTGAGGGGGGGAGTGGGTGAGGGGGGGAGTGGGTGAGGGGGTGAGGGGGGAGTGGGGGGGAGTGGGTGAGGGGGGGAGTGGGTGAGGGGTGAGGGGGGAGTGGGGGGGAGTGGGTGAGGGGGGAGTGGGTGAGGGGGAATGGGTGAGGGGGGGAGTGGGGGTGAGGGGGGGGTGAGGGGGGATTTTATTTTAATATGTATATATAATTATATCTATTATCTCTCTATATATATATATTTATCTCTGAGAACTTTTATGACGGTCTCTGGTGCTCTGTCGGCGGTGGAAGCGATAACACGTTTCGTTGCGTGTGTTACGATGTGGGGGTGTGAAAGAGGGACAGACAGACAGACAGTGGTGGGGGTTGAGTGACCCACATTATTATTATCATTATTATTATTATTATTTATTATGTGTTATTATTCGTGGATCGATCGATTGATCGGCGAAAACGCGGGGAAAAAAAAACTGCGGCCGAAGATGTTTCGCGTCCGCGGAACGGTCGGGTATTTCTTTTTGATGCGCCGCGTGTGTGTACGTGTGTGTACGCGTGTGTACGTGTGTGTACGTGTGTGTACGTATATATATATATATATACGAAAAAAAGTGAGTGTCCCGTCTCTTTAATGGAAGTCGAAAGGTTTCGGACGGGCGAGACAGGGAACCGCTGTCTCCGCCGGTCGGCGCGTCTGCCACTCGCGGTCACGGTCTGAAGGTGTCCACCAAAAGAAGCAGAGGGGAGGGTCAGAGGTTTCAGCGGAAATGTTTCCACTCAGCGAGTTGTTGGGATTTGGAGTGATCCGCCCGAAAGGGCGTTGACGTCCGATTCGATCACAGCTTTTGAGAGAGAACCGGACAGGTATCGGGGGAGGACGGGTTCGCGGGGTTATGGGGAGACGGGTTTGCGGGGTTATGGGAGACGGGTTCGTGGGGTTATGGGGAGACGGGTTTGCGGGTTTATGGGAGACGGTTTGCGGGGTTATGGGGAGACGGGTTCACGGGGTTATGGGGAGACGGGTTTGCGGGGTTATGGGGAGACGGGTTTGCGGGGTTATGGGAGACGGGTTTGCGGGTTATGGGGAGACGGGTTCACGGGGTTATGGGGAGACGGGTTTGCGGGGTTATGGGGAGACGGGTTTGCGGGGTTATGGGGAGACGGGTTTGCGGGGTTATGGGGAGACGGTTTGCGGGGTTATGGGGAGACGGGTTTGCGGGGTTATGGGGAGACGGGTTTGCGGGGTTATGGGGAGACGGGTTTGCGGGGTTATGGGGAGATGGGTTTGCGGGGTTATGGGAGGACGGATTTGTGGGGTTATGGGGAGAAAGCTGGTGATTGGGGTTAATAAAAGTCAGCTGCTCTGTCAAAAGAGCCGGCACAGACTCGATGGGCCGAATGGCCTCCTTCTGTGTCGTAATATTCTATGATATGAGTGTTTTGTTTGGGGGGTGGGTGGGGTGTGAAGACTTCCTGGCTGAGGGGAGTCAGGTGAGGCGCCACCCGGACCTGTATCATATAATTGCACAGAAATTTCACGTTGTCAGGACAGATTCCTTACCCCCCCCCCATCCACGACCAACCCCCCCACCCCACCACCCCCATGTCACTGACCCCCACCCCCACCCCCTGTCTTCCGCCTGGAGTCTCCCAACACCCACTGATCATCCCACACGTGAGGATAAATGTGAATTCTCATCAGAGGAGAATTCCCCCTTTTCAAGGGTGCGAATATAATCCACACTTCGTAACTTCACCCGTTCGGAACTTTCTCCCAATTATTACCAACGACCTTTCCCCTCCCATTAACCATCACCCCACCCTTCCCCTTTCCTCTTTGCCAACCAATCCTTGAGGCAGATTCCAAGGGGGAGAGGGAACAGGCAGCCCTGTGTGTGTTTTCCGCTCTGATGGTTAGTTGGGATTAGGTTATTTACCTGCGGATTAATCCCTGGGTCACGTTACTATTGCCAAACTGTCTCGTTTGCTTGTGAGTTACGGCGAGCGAGCAAATCAGTGAGTGAGCGACTCGATTGATCAAGTCAGTGAGGGATTGATTCATTCTTGCATTTTAAGGAGCACAGGAGATGTTCCTTCCTTTGGATGAGATGTTTAAACCCAGGTCCCGTCTGCCTGTTCAGGTGGATGTTAAAAATCCCATGGCGCTATTTGAAAAGAGAAGGGGAATTCTCTCTCTCGGTGTCCTGGCCAAGAATCCGCCGAATATATTCGCTCGCTCTGTGGCTGTTTGCGGGACGTTGCTGTGCGCAATTGGGTTAGGGACCTCGGAAGTGTGGACGACCCAGAAATATGAAATTCCAAACTTGAGACCGGTCCAAGGCAATTGCCCCGGGCAGCCCTCGCTGTACCTTATTAACACAGTTTTTCCTTGTTTAGGCATATTTAATCATACGGACACTTGCTGCCGAGAGCACGACCACTGTAAACATAAACTGGCCGCCTTTGAATATAACTACGGAATGCGAAATTTCAGGCTGCACACTATATCCCACTGCGACTGCGATTACAGGTAAGGAGGCTATTCTTCAGATAATCAACCCCCACTATTTGCGGTAAGCATTTTGTTCCAGTCAGTCAGGTGTCTGAAACATGTAGAAACCCATCACCGGGGTTAAGATAATGGAGATTCCTATCCGAGTATGTCATTTACATATGGAAATGCCAGAGCGTGGAATGTAATCTCTCCTCCTGGAGAGACACACGTCTTGCTTTACATAATTTCGGTAACTGTTAGGGGCAAATTGGCAAGAGCCAAGGCTTGGGGGTCTCAGCGTGTGCATTGGGGCACCGTTGGAGTTTAATCCACTAACACCGCACAGCTTGCTATTGTCGGGCAAGCTTCTTGCTGATTGTCCAGCTAGGACCTCCCCTTACTCCTGCGGGTTTTGCTTGCAGCGTTAACAATTGCCCCTGAGATTACTTTGCTCCAGGAGGTACGATGCGACAGAAGACGGTTGTTACAGCACCGAGCCCCTACCAACCTATCTGCTTGTGGTTGTTGGCAATGGCCACGAGGTGACACTGTTGCATCGATTTACCTGGACGCGCGTGTGACGCCACAGGCCTCGGAAACTAGTCCTCAGATTGTAGCCTGAAATTTCAGCTACTTGAGGTCCTGACATTCAGATTAGACGTTAAACCGAGGTCCCATCTGCCTGTTCAGATGGACATTAAAGATCCAATGGCTCCACTCGAAAGAGAAGGGAGTTTCTTCCGGTTTCCCGCCAACAAATTCCCCCAGATAAATTAATCATTTACCTTGTGGCTGTTTATGGCATTTTCCTGTGTACAAATTGGTTTCCTCGTTCACCTACAAATGTGCGGTGGCTCCACTTCACGCACTGTGAAGCACTTTGAGACGTTACAGTGTACATAATTATTATTGTTATGAATTATTATTGTTCCTTCTTATTTTGTAAAATACAGCAAAATCCCTGCCCCAAAACTCCAGACACTGGATCCTAGTGACCCGCCCCCCCCCACCATGCTTGCTAGCCTTTCCAGCGACCGGGGAACGGCTAGCCTGTGGTTAAATGTACCCAAATAGTACCGGGTCAAGTTTTTTTTTAACTGTTTCTACCCAGATTCAAGTACTGTCTGCTACAACTCAATGACACAGTCTCCACCCTGGTGGGCATGGCTTTCTTCAACCTTCTGGAGATCCCCTGTTTCACTCTGGAAAAGGTAGAACAGTGCGTCAGGTGGACCTGGTGGGGCAGGTAAGTGTTACTGTGAGATGCAAACCCAGGGGAATCATCATCGCCTTTATAATCCAAGGTTCCCAGGTCAACAACAACATGGGTCAGCTACAGAGTAAAGCTCTCTCTACGCTGTGCGTCCACACCCCCAGATCATCTACAGCAGGGGTAAAATACAACATAAAACTCCCTATCTTGTCCATACAGGACCTCCCAGATCAGGGACAGAGTGAGTTAGAGGCAGAGTAATGCTCCATCTACACTGGGGCGGGTGGGGGGTGGGGGAGAGAACGGAGGTCACAAGAAGTCACAGAGGTAGGGAGAGGGTGTGGAGGCTTCAGATAGCAATAGTGACTGACCTTTTGTGTGTGTATGTGTGTCTCTCTCTCGCAGCTGCAATGGGACTGGGCTGGTGGCTAGAGCCATGTTACGGTCAACGTTCAGATACAACTACACACACCCACTGCTGGATGAGATACGGTTGGGCTGGTGGCCCACCACTAACCTCAGCGGAGGCTCGGGGTCCGGCTTGTTCTCCGAGATGTCTCCCCCTGTTCCTGTCACCCACTGGCAAACCCCAACCGCAAAGTCACCAAAGCTTAAAGGCAAAGGCAGAAAGAAGGGCAGAAAAGGCAAAGGTCAGCGGAGGAAGAACCTCAAAGCTCCTTCCCAAAACGCTTTGGAGACCAGGCTGTACGTTTGGAGTCCAGGGGTCCGGGTGGAGACCACCGGCTCCCCTCGTATTAGTGGCTCCGACTCTGTCACTAACCGTTCGGCTGAAACTGTGAACATGGGAGTGATCACCACCACCATCGAAGGGCAGCAATTCACCAGCAAACACAACATCCCCTCCACCATGTCCCAGAGAGAGGGGTCAACGCCTGACACAGACCAGCCCCTCACCCAGCAGCCCCTCACCCAGCAGCCCCTCACCCAGCAGCCCCTCACCCAGCAGCCCCTCACCCAGCAGCCCCTCACCCAGCAGCCCCTCACCCACCAGCCCCTCACCCACCAGCCCCTCACCCACCAGCCCCTCACCCACCAGCCCCTCACCCAGCAGCCCCTCACCCAGCAGCCCCCACCCAGCAGCCCCCCCCAGCCCCCACCAGCAGCCCCCACCCACCAGCAGCCCCCACCCACCAGCCCCCACCACCAGCCCCCACCCACCAGCCCCCACCCACCAGCCCCCACCACCAGCCCCCCACCAGCCCCCAGCCACCAGCCCCCACCACCAGCCCCCACCAGCAGCCCCTCAGCCAGCAGCCCCTCACCCACCAGCCCCTCACCCAGCAGCCCCTCACCCAGCAGCCCCTCACCCAGCAGCCCCTCACCCACCAGCCCAGCTTGACCGGTGCAGTGGGTGAAATCGTCTCCACCATTAACGTAAGGACAGAAAGCCGCGTCGCTGACCTGGGAAGGCTCCTCTCCAGCGGCTTTGAGGAGCACAGCAACTCAACACCGCCCACGCCTGCCGGGCACTGGGGTCAGGTCGACAACACAGGCCGCCCCATCCCCCAACGCCCTGGTCTCAGCCCGAACCCGCCTGACAAACACGGTGCGTCCCTCGTCTCTCTCTCTCGCGCTGAATACAATTAAGTACTTCTAAATACAATCATCATAATTCTTCCGCAGCTTCCTCTTAAATTCGCGCGCAAATATGCAGTCAATTCACTTTACGGCGTATTCTGCGAAGCGCTTTGAGACGCCTGGAAGACGTGAAAGGCGCTGTATCAAATGCAAGGGTAATTATTGTTATGAAATGCGTTGCTGCTATTTGCTTGGTTCACCGTCCTCACCGCCCTCGTTCGCAGTCACTTTGCTGCTCTTGGCCTGACCTCGCTGCGCGTGCACGCTGGTCTCTGTGTTTCGCCGTTCGTGTTTGTCACACGGCTGCTTCTTGTTACTTCTGTTTCGCAGGCGGCTACAAACGCTGCGGCTGTTACAAACGGCTGGACCGTTGCGAGCACAAGATCGAGCCCAAACAGTTTAAATTCTATTATCACAACCTGGAGCCCAAAACAGTCTACCACTGCAACTGCACCAAGAGGTACCATGCCTTCCCATCCCCGAGAGACTGACCCATGGCGTCCTGGCTCCAACACCCAACACGCCCCACCCCGCCCGCGCCCCCTCCCATCACACGTATCCACTCACACCCACCCAAGCCCTGCCCTGCCCGTTTCTCCCCACTTCCACCCACCTTCCTGCGTCCGCCCATCTGCCCCTCTCCTCCCTGTGCCTGTATGTCTCTCGACCCCACAGACCTGCCCGTTTCCTGTCACGAGCCTGTTAATAACAAACCGGCCCGCCACCTCTCACTGCCCTCCCCAGTGTGTCGGGTGGGGGGGTGTGGGGTGGGGGTTGTGTGGGTGCGGCGTATGGGTTTATTTTACAGTGGGGAAACTGGGCTAAGAGCCAGGTGAGGAGTGGGGGACATTCTGTGAGGAGGTTGGGAGGTCACTGAGGTTCAAGGGTTATTTTCCTTGAGGCTTCAAAGGAGGAGAGGTGGGGGAGTGGGACTCGGGGTGTGGTGTGCTTTATCTATGGGGCGGCACGCTCTCCGATTTGTGGGGAGGGGGGGAGATGAACGTCATCGCTGTACGCTGTTCCCAGCTCACGGCGTTTCCCTGCTCCGATTTTTCCAGGCTGGTGAAGAGGATGAAGAAAGAAGGGAATCCTGAGGCGCTGCAGGCGGTACTGTCAGATTTCGTGTCCCTCAGCTGTTTCTACTTGAAAGAACCGAAGGGAGAGTGCAGCGAGGAGGGTCGCAACCTGTGAGTATTGCCCCTACCATCAGGGGCCTCACTGCCGGGTGCGGAGTGGGGGGCAGACACAGGGGAACTGGGGATCTGGTGAGGTTTGGATGAAGGTGTGTATTACCAAAGTGTAGAGGGAGTTTGACCCTGTCTCTCACCCGTGCCGTAAATGATCTGGGAGTGTGGATGGACGGTTGATTTGGGCAGGGGGCGAGATATTTAATCAAATGACGTTTGACCTGAAGAGGAGTGGATCACGACTCCGTGGGTACCTCCCTCACCTCGTGTGGTGCTCAGGATCACAGCCCTGTGTGGGAGTGGGCATTGAGTCCCAGTTTGTGGGAGAAGGCAGCGGAGGAGAAGGGAGGGTGTGGAAAGAAGAGGAGAAGGAGTCGAGGGAGGAGAGGACTGGAGAGGGAGGGGAACGAGAAGAGGGAGAGATAGAGGGGAGGAAGGGAAGGGAGGGAGGGTGAATGTCATGTGTGGACAGGCAGTGACTTGGCTCCTGTTGCCCCCCAGCTGTGTGCAGCCTCTCTCCGCGGTGGCGGTGCTATCCAGAGCCAGGCATCTCCGCAGGGCACTGAAGGTGCGCAGGGCAGCAAACGAGTCCCGGTATCCGGCGCTGGCCGAGCGAGAGGGGAGCAGGAACGGCACCAGAGTCATTAACCTGTACCACAAGTGCTTACAAGCGATTCAGGCTTCGAGAGTGAAGACTTAGAGACTGGTGGGACCTGATCTTTCTCACCCATTGCTGACCTCCTTCCCTCCCCCCACACACACCCCCACCCCCACACTAGCGTGGTGCTGGGGTTGGGGGGGAACGCTGCATTGTCAAAGGCACTGTCTCTCAGACGAGACGTTAAACCGAGGTCCCGTCTGTGCCCGTTCAGGTGGACGTTAACCATCCCGACTTTCTCTTTCCCGGTGTCCTGTCCGACAATCCCCCAGATCAAATCGGTCACTCATTTCATGGCTGTTCGTGGGACGTTGCTGTGCGCAAATCGGCTGCCGCGTTTGCCTGGTAAAAAGAGTCATGACGGTGTGTCCTGTGAAACTCTTTGAGGCGTCTCAACGATGCGATAAGGCTTTGTATCCAACGTAAGGATTATTAGTGTTTGATTGATTTCCAGGATATGTTCAGAAAGAGCTGTTGTTGTCTGATGTTTATTTGCGGTGTGTCTGCCAGCCCACAGTGAGGGGGCGAGGAGGGGAAAGATAACGGAAAGAGCGGTGAATGAAGTACCTTTTGAGATGGGCCTGTGGAGCACAGGGGAGAGGGAGCAAGGCCACTGCACAGCCCTGGAGCCTCAGCAATCCTCCGAGACCTTCATAGAGACGACTCAACTGATTTAGATACGATAAAGGGAGGGGGAAGGATGTGGTGATTCTGTGAATAATATCATTCGGTTTAAACACAAACTGTTCTTTTGTATTCAGTAAACACTGAATCGGACAGAAGTGTTTCAGAGAGCCGAGGGGGGAGGACGGGAAGAGTCGTTGGGATTGTAGGACGCAACGAATTTTACTGTCGCTGGCATCCGCTGCCTGTTTTTCCATGAAATCTGTTCAAGGAAGGGGTGTTGTGAGCATTGGCCATCTTGGTACTAGGCCACATCTCAGTGCGAGAACGTGTGTATCTATTTCTGAGAGCAGTGATTTGTTGGAATAGAAACAAAAGACCTTAAACACTCCCCTTGGATGGTGGTGGGTCTTGCTCTATCAGATGGGCTTTTCTGTGGCCTCAGAGAGTATTTGTACCTGATGTGCCAGAACCTTGTTCTCTTTCTCCAGTCGTTTCCTCTTTGACCGCGCCTTCGGTCACCCTCGTACTCCCACCCTCCGCCCCTCCTGATCCCTACCACCAGCGCCTTGGGACGTCCTCCTGACGTGAAAGGCGCTATACAAATGTTGTTGTTGTTGTTATTGTCCTAGGCCTGAGGAGCAACATGGCATTTTGCTCCAAAATAAACCGAGGTTGCAATGTAGGACTCGCTAACACAGCACTTTCTACAAGATCTTCTGTAAAATATTTTGTAAAGTAAGGAAGGTTGATCTTGTTTGTTTCTCCGCACTGTACAGATATTGTACCCTTATTGCCAGACGGTATGTCTCCTTCTGTTGTCAAATATTGCGTCTCTTGCAAAACTGGGAATGAAACGTACCTGAAGCGGTTTAAACCGTGCGTCGCTTTATTTGGGAGGACGCAGAGGGCATTAATCAGACTGCATTCTGACAAAGTATGTCAGCCGGGCCCAGTGCCGGGGTGGGGGAGCTTGTCACTTTTAACTGTTCAGATGTGCTGTTGGGAGATTGCGATGGTTGAACAGAAAAATAATGCTTACATTTCATGTTCAACATTGTCGTGTATTTGGGACATCGCAAGTGCAGGCACGTATTTTCTGACAAACTTTATAATAATACATTAATCCTTGCATTTGATAGAACGCCTTATCACGTGTTCGAGACGTCTCAAAGTGCTTCACGGAATATACTGTGGAGTGAATTGATTGTGTATTTTGTGGGTGAAACGCGGCAGCTAAATTGCGCACAGCAGCGTCCCCACAAACAGTCGTGGAACTAAAAATAAAGGCAGGTTGGAGTAACGATCCATAAATATCTTTATTTTTGCTGTTTAATCCTTGTGAAGCCCACATCCACACGGTATGATGTTTGCACAGCTCACTGAATCGATGGAAGACAACGGCGGTTTAAACACACAAGTTGATCTGCTCACAGCAGAAATCACTCGACCTAATCACAGGACGCAACACGTTTTTTTAAAAAAAAAGTCCGACACACGACTGTAACACTGGGCACCGCACGCAAGTCCCTGTCCCGAGAAATAAGTGAAATGTCACGTTGCCGAGTGTTCGAAGGCCCCAAATTCCACCTAGACTTAGCTTGTCAGGCCACGTCGCCTTAAAAACCCCAAATCAGTACAGAATTCTGGACAATTCTCCAAACCAGTCTGCATTTGGTTTCCACAGTTCTTAAGAAGAAACCGGTTTCCGAAGTCAGGACTGAGTTTAAGCATTATCCCAAATTCTGTGCGATTGTTGTTTCAATGACATCTTTCCCCTCCCTGAATCCTCGCTGCTCCGAAATGGACCTCCCTCTGCATGGCTCCAGCACAGTGCCTTCACCCTACTGTGCACCAATTCCATGTCCCAAACAGCCACCCAAGAACCTCGCTCAGTTACATTTACTGACATTATTGGTGGTTTTTTTTTGTTTTGGCGCTGCTGACTTGCATCTCCCGGGCTCCGCAATGAGTGAGCGCACTTAACAGTGGGACACAGCGAGGGAATCTTATGGGAAGTTAGATAGATGAAACAACCTGTCCGCTCTTACCTGTGCCTGTTTCCGCATTGCCCACACACCCTGTGATCCGTGAGAGCAGTTGAATTGAATGGTCCCTGAAACAGCCCATTTACACTTGAACACACTGGGACAGGACAAACTGTGTCTACGGAATAAAATCTCCCTCCCCTCCCTCCCTCCCCCCCTCCCCCTCTCCCCACCGATTATTCAAGGAATGATATTTAATTATATTTAATGTTATTAGCCAATTCTGCTGCATAGAGATTTATAAATATTTTGCATTTTGTTTTTGTCCCTTCAAGGGAGGAACACTGTTCCTGCAGCAAAACAGCCAGACACACCAGCCCACTGACTGCAAACACAACAGCACAGAACTCAGGGGCTGATCAGCGCTGTGTCATCAGCCACCAGGGCTATGAGAAACAGAGAGAGAGAGAAAAGATAAGGGTTCACAAAAAGAGAGAGGGAGAGAAAGAGAGAGAGTGGGGGAAAAAGAGAAAGAGACACACAGAGGATGAGAGGGAGGTGAAGAGCCATAGAAGTTTACAGCACACAAGGCCATTTGGTCCTTCGAGAGACAAAGAGAGAGTTGGGATGAATAGAAAGCGAGTCTGGGTGAGAGAAAGCGTTGAAAGAGAGATGGTGAGAGGAGTTTGGAGAGAGAGACAAAGAGATGGAAATAGAGAGAGAGAGAGAGAGAAGCAGATGGGAAAAAAGAAAGATAGCAACAGTGAAAGAGAGATGCAAAGGGATGGAGGGACAGGGAAAGAGAGCGGCAGAGGGAGAGCGCGGGAGGGAGGGCGAGACAGAGTGCGCTGTGAGCTCTAACAGGATGATGCATTACACGTGGTTCAGGTAACCCTGATATCTACACTGTCTACGGCTCATGTCCCAGAAACCAGCTGCGCCTTTAGTGTGAAGACAGTTTTTGAGTGCTGTATCACGTGGGCTTTGATCCCTACAATAAATAAATCACAACCTCTTGACTGGAATTTTTCCCTGGATGAGAATGATTGCCTGCCCACAGCCCGTGTGAGGCCAGGCTGCCTGGGAGCTAGTTGGCTGCAGTGTGAGGCTCTGCTCTGAGCCGGTGACCGCCCTCGGGGCTGCGGCCCCTGTTAGGCGACACCGCGGCTTTGCCCGGAGCCTGTAGACCGGAGTCTGCGGCGGTGACCTGGACACTGGGGTTGGGGGCTGCCGAGCTCCTCTTCCCAGTGCCCGGCTGGGAGGGAGCTTGCCTGGTGGACCTGTCTCCAGCTGGTGATTTGGAGCATCGGGAAGAGATGCCACTCTGTCCCTTGCCATCCTGGTCTGTAGCCTGCCCACTAGGCTTCGCCGGGCCTTTCCCATGAGCCGCTGAGGCTTCTGAAGCGACGACAGGAGAGAGTCTGTTCCCGGTGTTGCTTGAGGTCTCTGGGCTTCCTCTCCCAGCCCTGGCCACGTTGGCTCCCGGCTCTTTGAGCTGCTCGTACCTCCTGGGTGACGGACTCCGGCTTTTACTCTTGCTCTTGCCGCCCAGTTTGAGCCCCTGCAGGGACTTGCTGATAGACGCCACCGGGCTCTTACTGCGGCTCCTGCTCCCTCGCTGCTTCCTCTTGCCCGGGCTGGGGCTGCGGGAGTTGGGCCGGATGAGGCTGAGCGTGCTGGTCTGCTCCTCGTCCGAGCTGGAGTCAGAGCTGTCAGACAGGCTGGAGTGGGAGCTCGAGGACGGCAGCGAAATCTACACAAGCAACAAAAGATACAGCTGTTTTTTTTTACACAGCGACTTACACAGACTGGAAACAGGCCATTTGCCCCGTCTCGTCTGCGCCAGCATTGATACCTTCACCTCCAACCAGTCTTACTCCCTGTCTGTACCCTTCTATTCCCTCCTAAGATAATAATAATCCTTATATTTGGTGTAGCGCCTTAGCAAATCAGGAGGACATCCCCAAGCGCTTCACTGTAAAGTGAAGTGAAGTGACTGTGTATTTGTAGGCAACTGCAGCAGCTAATTTGCACACAGCCAATGTCTCATAAATAGCTCCGTTTAGCTTTTGGGGGACGGGGAAGAGATCACTGGCTGTGAACTACTTTTGTCACAGTGTCCTCTCCAACTCCAATCCCAGCCCCACCCCACCCCCCCATTGAAGCAGTCCTATAGCCAGGCACTGCTCTGACCTGGAATGGCTCAGTCACCCCCACAATGGTGTTGTGGTTGTTGCTGTAGTAACACAGGATGAATTCTCCCATCCCTCTCGGCAGCACTTCCTCACTGAACAGCGCCTGAAAAGAGGAGAGAGGTGTGAGAGGAGAGGGGAGAGGGGAGAGTGGGGTGACGGGAGGGGTGGGGGGTGGTGGGGAGGGGGGGAGGGGGGTGAGGTGGAGAAGAGGGGAACCTTTACAGCTAACACCAAGAGAGGAGGAGATGCTCAATCTGTTAACTGGACTGGCTTGAAACTCAAATTGCGGAGATGTTGGGATGGAGCTTAACTCACTGACCAACATTACAATGGGTTTCCAAGGCATCGGTAGGAATGAGTTCCAAGGCCACAGTGCAGATGACAGCAATTGTGACAGAGTTAGCGTTTACCTGATAACACTGCCTCATGGGGTCAGACTCATCATGCTTGGCCCACACATACGCCACATAGTCCTTGTGATGCTTGAAGCCCACCTGCAGGTAGGAGACAGAACATCTCAAACGTTTCCTGACTCTGTTTGTGGGCAAAACCCAGCGGCCATTGGCACTGGCAAAGGCCCCACAAACAGCGACAAGGTGAATAACCGTTTTCCCTGGAGTATTTATGAGCAGGACACGAGGAGAAATTCCCTTCTTCCTTCCGATAATGTCGCAGGATCTTAAGTCACCACGGGAGCAGGGTTTAGAACGCATCAAGAAAATAAAAATCAAAATAGTGATAATAATTTGGTCACTCACTCCACGACTGTTTGTGGGGCACTGCTGTGTGCAATTGGCTGCCGCGTTTCGCCCGTAAAATACACAGTCACTACACTTTATAGTATATGCTGTGAAGCGCTTTGAGACGTCACGAAGACGTGATAAGGCGCTATATCAAATGCAAGGATTATTATTATTAATATGATAATAATGCGATCATTATTAATATATTATTATAATGGGCAAATGGCCTGTGTCTGTGCCGTTATATTGTGTGATTCTCTAATCCCACAACACTTGCTCACCTTGTACAGCCCGATCCAGTCCCACGAGCTCTTCGGGAAGGAGATGTCCATCCTGTACCTCACCACAGCGTCCGCCGGCTTAGTCCATTCATCCTCCACCTGCAGCTGGACCAGTGGCAACTCCAGCTTGTGGGCAAACTGAAGCCAGAAAAAGAGAGGGGGAGGGCGAGAGAGAAAGAGAGTGAGAGGAACGTCAGGAAAAGAGACAGAGGAGAATCATGCGTTTTCCCTTCACATCAATGTATATTGGAAACACACCGACTTTGCCAATTTGCATTGGTGTTAATTGCAGCTTGTAGACACATCCAAAGAAGCAAGAATGACCATGAGATATACATGATGCTAAAAGAGAGAGAGAGAGAGAGAGAGAGAGAAAACCTGGAACAATATTCCGTTTCCCAAAGGCAGGACACGAGGGATATGTTCAAGGTCGTGCAATTTCACAACTGGGAAGAATCCAAGGCTCTCATTCCTTATACGTAAACTCCTTCAGTTTCCTTCAGTTCATCCCCTTCCCATCCTAACATAATTTTTTGTACCCAGGAGGTCAGAACCTCACCTGCCCCACACAGCCCTCTGGCCAATGTGTGTGTGTGTGGGTGTGTGTGGGTGGGTGGGTGGGGGATGTGTGGGGATGTGTATGTGTGAGTGTGTGGGGGGGGGAGTTGGAGTGGTATGTGTGTGTGTATGTCCGTGTCTTCAACATGTACAGTTAATTCATTTTACAGTGTGTTCCGTGAAGCGCATTGAGAAGTCTCGAAGATGTGATAAGGCGCTATGTCAAACGCAAGGATTATTATCTGTTATTATTATTGTTATTATGAGCATGTGTAGGGGCTGCTTTCCCCTGAGGCAGCCCCTCATTACTGGACACCACAGACCCACCTTCAGGGAGAAGACAGCAGCCACGGGTTTGTGGTCGCTGACGAGATACTCCATGTGACTGCGGTACGAGCACTGAAACACCTGCACTGAGGGCACCTCAGCCTCCCCCGGCCTCCTGCCCACTGACTGATTGTAGTTGTCGGCAACTTTCACTCTCCACAGGATACGGTCGGTCCAGGCAGGTTTGCGTTTCTTCGAGCTGGGGAAACGTTTGAGAAATTGAAACGTTCTCACCTCAAAAATTCCCTCATCCCCACACACATAGTACTACTACTGCTACTAATAATAATAATCATTGCATTTGACGTAGCGCCTCATCACATCCTCGAGACGTCTCAAAGCGCCTCACAGAATATACAGTGAAGTGAATTGATTGCATATTCCGTGGCCGAAACTCGGCAGCCCGTTGCGCACAAACAGTCGTGGATTGAAGTGACCAATTTATGATTATTATTATTTTTGAAGGAATTATTAGCCCCGGAAAAGCAATCCGTCAATTGACTAACAACCAAGTACATACACAAACACACGCACACATTCACTCCTCCCCACCGCCAATCACACCCCCACACACACACACACACACCATTGATTTGCCTCACTCAGTCCACACGCAGCTTTGTGGCTAGGAGAGTCAATCACTGCTGATCACTGAGCCTCGCTGCCTCACCTCGTATCATATGTGTTGGTCCCCACATCGTACTTATACGTGGGCCTGAAGTTCAGGAGACCCTCCTGGAACCCATCCAATGCCGGCTGCATCACCTTCGCTATGTTTAACTGCAAACACACCACAAACACGGTTAGAAAGAAAGAAAGAAAGAAAGAAGTTGCTTTCGCATAAAAGCATTGAAACGTCTCAAAGATTCCCAGTGTCATTCCTCACAGGCCAACCAATGCAGGAGATGAGCAACCAGGAGGTGAACGACTGATTAATCCGGGAGACTGTTGACCAGGAGAAACTCCCTTCTCTTTTCCAGCAGTGCCGTCCAACTGACTCGGCAGATAGACACTCAATTTAACATCTCAGCCAATATCTGACAAAGCAATGCTTCTGAATGTCTGTCTCAGGTAATCCTGAGGGTATTGGTGAGGGAACGATGGATATATTTCGCCCACAAATATACAGTCAACTCGCTTTATGGTATTATTCTGTGAAGCGCTTTGAGACGTCTCGAAGAGGTGAAAAGTGCGACATCAAATGCAAGTAATATTATTATTATTATTAATCAGACTGTACAGTAGAGGGCGATCTTTAAATAATCCTTGACATTTGATATAGTGTTTCTTTCACATCGGGCAGACGTCTCAAAAAACGCTGTAAGGTGTAGTGACTGCTTAATTTGTAGGCAAACCACGGCAGCCAATTTGCACACAGCAGTGTCTCACATCCTCGACTACGTGCATTCAAACATCTCGACGTGCGCCTCAAACCCACGGGCGGGAGGGAGTGTTTGCCGTGGGCTACTGTAACATAAGGGCACAGTCTTGAGGGAAGAACAACGGTGACCGTGAAAAAAGAGGGAACAAACATTTTAACGTGAAATATCAAAATCACTTCAACCGGGAAATTCAGCCTCTCTGAGTCTGCTGCTCCGGTCCGGACGGCTTTGTTTCTTTCTGTACGAAGCTGCGGAAGGTGAAATGCTTCGGGCTTCCTCAATAAATGTCTACAATCTTCTATTTTTACCTTTCCCAAAATGGCTCTCTGTTGTCCTGGCGACAGGCCTGCTATTCTGTCCCATTTTCCTGGGGTTACATCAAAGATAGGAGCTCCGTGTACACTGTGTGCGCATTTCTATTTGTGTTTGTACCTATCTCTGTGTGTGCGTGCGTGTGTGTTCATGCGTGCAAGCGTGCACTGCATCCGTTAGCACGTGTGTCTCTCCGTGTGCATGTGTCTGAGTGTATGTGTGTGTGTATCTGTGTGCGCGGCGTGTATGGTGTATCTGTGTGTGCATGCGTACTGTGTGCGGATGTGGTGTCTATGTTCGTGCTCGACTGGGTGGGTGGGTGGGTGGGTGGGGGGGCGTTGGGTTCCTACCTGGTCCTTGTCCCACAACAGCCCCAGCTTGTTCCTGTCAATGGCGTTTTTCACGGACTGGATGTCGTACTGCTCGATGCGGAAATTCAGATCCCCGAACCAGAACAGCAAACTGCGAGCCAGAGACGGACACACATCAGCACAGAGAGAGGAAAGAGTGACTCCCCACAAACCAGAGACTCCCTACAGACCGACTGGGCAGGAGCAGCGGGGAATGGGAGCTGGGAGGGCGCGGGAGGGAGGGCGTTGGGTTGAGGGGTGGGTGTTGGGGTGCACGGGGAGGGGAAGGGGCATGGGGTGAGTGTGTGCGGGGGGGTTGGGGTGGTGGGAGGGGGCTACCGGTGGTGGTGTGGGGGAAATACTGTCTAGGACTCACTCGTGGTCGAGCACGCCGTTGGCGGAACGGCCGCTGAATTGCTGGAGCTGCAGAATGTTCTGGAAACTCTCCATCCGCTGCTCCGAGTTCTCCAGGTGAGCCGGGAGATGGCAGTTCAGGAAACAGATCATGTGGCCATAGAGCGACAGCCGTGCACTGATTCCCCCCTTGTTACCCTGAAAACAACAACGACAACAACAAGGTCGTCAGCCCCCCCGCCCGACTAGCGACAGGGACATACATACTATACACACACGCTACGCACACGCTACACACACACACTCTAAACACACAAGCTACGCACTCTCTACACAGACACACACACTCTGCACACACTCACACTAAACACACACACGCTACGCACACACAAGCGTGCCCTCTACACACACACACACACACACACTCTACAAAGGAAAACACACACTACACTCGTACGCGCTCCAAACACACACACACACTCTACACTCTACACGCACTCCGCACACGCGAACATACAGTGTGTTACATTTTGTAAACGGACGCTGAATGGTTTGCAATGGCTAGAGAGAGAGAGAGAGAGAGAGAAGGAGAGAGATCAGAGGTCAGACGTGTGCGAGAAGGATCAGGTATCGGGTGACAATCCTGTTGTGGGAGAGTGATGAGGAGAGCCTCTCACTGTGTGAGCAGAGCGATCAGTGTGGACAGTGCTCCACGTCAGCCATACCCAGTATCCACCGAGCCCAGTCCTGGTGCAGTCGGTCTGGATGTCCTGCAGATACGGCAGGTGGTAATACTTGGCAAAGAGCAGTAGCAGCTGCCCTTGCATCCGCTCCGAGGTCACCTGCGCCGGGAGACAGCCAGAGACGGTCAGCCCGTGTCCACACACACACACACACCCTCCTTACAGCATTATATATCGTCTCACAGTGAACACCAAGCGCCTTTGTGTACCATATTAATAATACAAATAATAATGATAATAATAATCCTTGGACTTGGTATAGCGCCTTGGTATAGTCCATAAAGACGTCTCAAAGCGCTTTGCAGGATATACCGTAAAGTCAACTGACTGTGTATTTTGTGGGCGAAACGCGGCAGCCAATTGCGCACAGCAGCGTCTCCCACAAACAGTCGTGGATTGAGTGACCAAATGTTTTTCATTTGAGGGCATTATTACTCCCGGAAAGCGACTAACGACCAGGTTCCTCCTCCCCAGTGGTACACCCCTCCCCCCCCCCTTCCTCCCCATGTAACAGAGAATTCACCCCCAGGGAGTCAGGGCTGCAGACAGACACCAGCGACAACCACCGGCGAAAAACACGGTCTGACAGCCACACATATGTCAGGCCAGCGTCACCAAGGCGATGCCTAAAAGAGATTATTAACTCTGCCAAGAATTCCTGCGTAGTTTTTGAAACTCACCAACACGTAGCCAAAGGGATTAAGCGTGTCCATAAAGAGCTCGCTCCACTGGTCTGTGAAAATGGCATCTTTGAGTCTTTTGTTTATCATCGAGTTCACCTCCTGCAGACTTCAAAACACAAGAAGCCGTTTGTTATAGGGTCTGGATTTCAACCTCGGTCTCGCCTCCACCACCCCACAGCCAGGGGCGGCCTCACCCCGGCCTGCGCTGAGGCAGATAATCACTTTGAAACGTTCATCCCGCGGGAACGGGTGTCAGTTCGTTCCCATCTCTGAGTCAGAAGGTTGTGGGTTTAAGCCCCGCGTCGGTTCAGGTGGATGTTAAAGATCCAATGGCACTATTCGAAAAGGAAGGGGAAATTCTCCCAGGGACCTGGCCAACAATCCTCTGGATTGAATTGGTAATTAATTTCACGGCTGTTTGTGGGACTTTGCTGTGTGCAAGTCGTCGGCTTGGTTCGCCTACACTGCACGGTAATTCCCGTGAAGCCCTTCGAGACGTCCTCCTAATGTGAAAGGCGTAAGTAACATCAGCCGCAACAATTAGGATTATGATTATCGTTGTTATGGAAAGTGCAAGTCTGTGGTTCGCTTTTGCAGTTATTAACCACAGCCAAACAGCTTAAACAAAATTAGCGGAATCTGGATTGTGATCGTTGGGGTATAAAGAGTTAAAAGATCCTGGGGTAGATCTAGGCTGGGAGCTGAGCTGTCTCCCCTGTTCGCTAATGTCCCTGAGACAAGATGGTTACCACATTCAGTGTCACAGGCTTTGTGCTGATTCACAGCACATCCTGCAATGTGCAACGAACCAGATATCAAGAGCAGCATTAACATGGGTCCAGATACCTCCAATACAGCTTGTACACGGACAGGAAAGACACACCCTCACGCACACCCACACACAAACACTCACTGCGCGCGCACACACACACTGCGTACGTAATAATAATCCGTGCATTTGATACAGGGCCTTACCACGTCTTCGAGACGTCGCAAAGCGCTTCACAGAGTACACTGTATTCGAAGGGAATCGAATGTGTATTTTGTGGGCGATACATACACTCGCTGCACACGCACCGTACGAGCACCTACACGTCAAGTCTCGCAAGTGAATAATGGCCATTGGGGTGTCTTGATGCCCTTGGAATTGTATCTGGGAGCAGAAAGGAGTCAAAAGCCTTGATGAGAGGCCAGCGATGCAAAGTATTTAGACTCGCGTGGTGTATAAACACTGGCGTGGACTAATTGGGCTGATTGGCCTGTTTCTGTGCTGTACAATCGATGTAATTCTATGTAAAGTGAGAGGGGAGGGGAGTAGAGGGGAAAGACCCCCTGTCTGTCTCATATTCATTTCTCTTGTCTTTTCCGTGGCTGTTATTCCCACACTGTCCACGGGAGGGTGGCTTTAACTCACAGATGGCGCGAGGGCTATTATTATTAATGATGCTTTCCTGTCACAACAGAGTAACGGTTAGAATTTGGGCATGCGGACTGGGGATGGGAGATGGCGGGGAGGGGGGGCTGCGGGGGGGGGGGGCAGGACATAGGGAAAAATTACCCCATCCGGCTCAGTGCCCCTTCTGCCGATGCTGTCACAGCGGGGACTGTGACGGTAACGGCAGCTATTCTGCTCATGCGGAAAATGGAACGATCGGCAAAAGGTCACAGGCAATCAGTCCACTTTACAGTACGTTCCGCGAAGCGCTTTGAGCCGCCTTCGACGGTGTAATGAGGCGCGGTATCAAATGCACGGATTATTATTATTACTCCTGTTGCTCACAGCTCATTCCTCTTACACCCGGGATCACCCTCTCCTCTGTAATCGCCTCTCTGGGCCCCGGACAGCCCCTCTACGTCAAGGTGACCAGAAAGGTACGCAGTAATCAAGGTGCGGTCTGACTGTGACGTCCGGGCATCTAAGCTCAACTGACTTAGCGTTCTACGTGTGGGCTGACCTTGAGTTTGACTTCTGAGGTTAGGAACTCAACCAATTTAACAATGTATAAAAAGCCTCCGGTTTGCCTGATTATTGCAGCCTCCCACTGTCTTAACACGACGAGCATTGAGCAATCTTGTCCCATCCACACGGTACGTGCGTCATCCTATTCTTTCTTAACTGTAATCATCCTTTCATTTGACACAGCGCCTCGAGAAGTCTCGAAGAGTCTCACAGAATCCGCCGCAAAGTGGAGTGACCGTGTATATCTGCGGGCGAAGGGCGGCGGCCGATCGCGCACAGCAGCGTCCCTCAAACAGTCGTGGATTGAAGTGACCAAATTATTAGTATTTTTTTAAAAAATGCGGCCAATTTGCACGCAGCGCAGCGCAGCACAGCACAGCAACGCCCCACACACAAAACCAAAAGAAAAATGACAAAATGACATTGGTAAAGCCACAAAGTGAGTAACCCGTTTTATTTGGGGGATTGTTGGCCAGGAAACCGAGAGAGATAGACTCCCTCGTCTTCTCGTACAGTGCCACGGGATCGTTAACGTCCACCTGAACGGGCAGACAGGGTTTAACGTCTCATCCAAAGGGGAGAAGTGGACACACCACTCTCCTCGTTGTAAGCAATAACTCTGATGGCAGCACGTGAATAATTTATGCAGGGAGCAAATGACGCCTGTTTCACTGTTCCTCTATTTTCTCTCCCTCGGGCGAGCTGTGCGAGTCAATGTTTAGATCAATGTCGCAATCAAACGGGCCCTTTCCTCCCAGAGCTGCCCTGCAGCCAGCCACACACTCCGTCCTTTCGCTCTGGCGTTGCCGACGGCAGGAGAGAGAGAAAGCGAGAGAGAGAGAGAGAGAGTGAAAGGGAAAAGGCAGGTGACTTGGCGGCAACTGTCTGCTCAGACCCCCCTTAGCGGCTCACATTTCACAAGCACCAGAACCTGAGAAGCGTTCACGAGATCAGCCTCTGCCACGGCCGGTCACCGTTGCCAGGCTGATCCCAGTAACTATAAAGGGTTTAAGTGACTGCCAGGCTCAGGGTGTATGACCCTCTCTCACGGGGTGTGGGGGGGGGGGGGGTGGGGGGCCGGGGTGGGGGGGGGATTAAGAAACCAGCATGGGGAAGAAACACACTGATCTCTGCCCCTGGTCGTGTGTCCGAAGGTCGGTACCAACAACAACAAGAAGTTATACTTGTAAAGCGCTTTTCGCGTGGGGAGGACGTCCCAAGGCGCTGGACGGTCAAGGATTTTAAGGACAACAGAGGCACAGCCCTGACTCCCCCCAAACGCTCAGCCCGGCTCACGCTCAGACTCACCCAATGACAAACATGTCAATCCGACGGTCGACAGCGTTCAGTCCCAGAAGGGAGGTGACGTCGTCAGGCGGAACGGCGGTCCCCACGTTCCACGTCACGAGGTGCATCCTGTCAACCAGAGGGCACAGAGATCAGGGGGCACAGGGTTAGGGGGGGCACAGAGTGAGGGGGCACAGGGTCAGGAGGCGCCAGCTCAGAGAGCGTAAGGTCAGAGGTGCCCAGGGGCAGAGGGCACAGTGTTGGCGTTGCGAGGGGTAAGTTTACAACGGTATTTCATTACACAATTTACATTTTACACATTTTTACACGGGGCCTCAAACGTAAACAAAATGTGTCAAAGCGCTTCGCAAAACAGGATTAACTGGAAAATTACGTGACTGTTGTAGGAGTTCCGTGGCGCTGTGATTAGCGCGCTCGCCACGCAAGCGAGAGGACCCGGGTTCGATTCCCGGTCAGGGCGAAACCTTAGGCAGGTCTCCTTACTCCACCGGCCTCTGTTTACCCAGCAGTAAATATGAACCCGGTTGTTAGTCGATTGGCAGATCGCTTTCTGGGGTTAACAGTCCCTCCTCCCAAGGGACGCTGCTGTGCGCAATCGGCTGCCGCGTTTCGCCCACAAGATATACACAGTCGATTCACCTTACGGTATATTCTGTGAAGCGCTTTGAGACGTCTTGAAGCCGTGATGAGGCACTATATCAAATGCAATGATTGTTATAATTATTATTATTATTTCTGTGGGAGTTTTGCCAGCCCAGTGTCGAGGATGGAGCTTCTGCTTTCTGCCACAACACATCAGCTTGTTTCATTTCCGTATCTGGGTCACTGTCCTTGTGCCAGGACCTTGAGCTATATTGTTTTGCTGCGTTGATTCATTCCCAAATGAAAAGTTGCAAGCACAAAATAAATACCCTCCGAGGAAAAGATATTTTCTGATCAAAGTATTCGAATAAAACGAGGGCTCCGATTAGGAGCGGGCAGTGACGGACTTAACCCATTCGCGACTGGTTTACAGTAGTTCTGGGGAGATATGGACCGCAGGTATGAAAAGGACTGGCCCTCCGTAAGCAGAGTATTTCGGGATAATAACTATAATGATGCTTCCATTTGATACAACGCCTTTACCTTCATTGGAGTTGAAGTACAGATCAGCCATGATCTAATAGAATGGCGGAACAGGCTCGAGAGGGCTGAATGGCCTATTCCTGTTCCCGAGTCGCTATGTTCCTTTCGCATCAGGAGTACGTCTGAAACCACTCCTCTGCCCTGTAAACAGGCAGCTTAGGATATGGAATGGTTGAGGCAGAGTCTATATCCACAACTTATTCTGGGCTAATTGCAGGGCACAGGCGAGCTCTGCTCACCCTCTGTGCCATTTAATTGCTATTTGAAGGGTTTTGAGTCACTCGGATATACAGTCGATGGAGAGCAGTGAGCTCTCACTGGTTATTGTTATTATTATCATTATCGTTAATTGAACCTGTTGTGTTGGATTTATTAGGAGACAGCGGTGCCCGCACACTACTCAACACCCCTCACTTCCCAGGTGCCTCCTCGCTACATCTCCCTTTTGAACAGCCCATTGATTCTGCCTGTCCAGCCTCTGGGGCTGTGGGTGGGTGTGAGTCACCGTTCTTTGTGTGAGAAAATCTCTCCTGATCCCCGAACATTTCCGATCAGGCGTGAAATCTCCCGCCAGCCTTCTCTCTGCTCGGCCCGTTCCCAGTGTTCCCTCCGGCGTTCCTCGCTTCATATCCAGTGAGATTACAGTCTCCTCAGTCCCTGGTCTCACATTACGCGAGGTCTTATCTGTAGACTATGCACAGTTGCCATAGAGACACAGGGCTGAGCTCGTTTTACACTGAGTCAATCAATTGCATCATTTCTCTTGCAAATTGGGGAGTGATCATTTGAATATTATTGGAAAGGCATTACTGGGAATGATTCCAAGGATCTGACAGGACACACAAACAGTGTCTGCTTCGGCTCCCACCAGATTGCTGGGCTGAAGGTAGTCACTGTAAGGTCGTTGGATCTGCAGGTGACACCAAGTTGGAGCAAACTGTGGAATCAATGTTGAGTGAACAATGATCGAACGTCTGATATTCATTGGGTTTTTTTTGTGGTCAGCCGAGTGCCTGACACACGTGGAAACCCATCACCCCATTGCTTAAGAGTATCCAAACCAAACTCGATTGAGATTTCCACGCATCCCACCCACACGTGGAAATCCCAGAGATAGATTGTTTCAATGGAACCCGCACTCTCTCCCTGGAGGGACGCATTCTGCTGACCTAATTCTGGAAAGTATTTGGCACAGGTTCACAAGAGCCGAGGCTTGGGTGACCCGAGGGAACACAGATTGTAACCTGTCCTCTCACCTACACTGACTGATGTGGCCCCTAAAGCTGCAGTTTCAGTTGCTTCTGAATGTTAATTGCTTTAAATACAAGTCTCCTAACCCTAAAGAGGTGAATGTTTAACCATCTATTCACGTGCGACTGAGCTGGTGTGCATCGTGTTGATCATTAACTGGAGGTACCGATTGAAGCAGCTCACTGTATAGTTTGGATCTTGAGCTTAAAGAAACAACTTGTGTTATTATAGCATCTTACCACACCAAACCCTCTCAAAGTCCTTTTTGACTGACAAAAGTAGTCAAAGTCCCACGAACAGCCGTGAGGTGAATGATTAATTAACCTGAAGGAATATTGGCCAGAACAATGGAAGAAACTCCCTTCCCTTTCCAAATAATGTCACGGGATTGCTGATGCTCTAGGAGGTCATGCTGAGCAGATTAAAAGATTCCTGAGGGATATGGATCAGGTAAATTTTTTGGAGTCATCCGAGTATCTGACACATACGGAAACCCATCATCATGATTGGTTATTGGAATGGAATGCGCACTCTCTCTCTCTCTCTCTCGCTCTCTCCCCCTCTCCGCAGAGGGACACATCCTGCTTACCAATCCCGGAAGTATCAGATAATAATAATAATAATAATCCTTGCATTTGATATAGCGCTTTTCACGTCGGGAGGACGTCCCAAAGCGCTTCACAGAACACACTGTAAAGTGAATTGACTGTATATTTGTGGGCGAACGCAGCAGCCAATTGCGCACAGCATTGTCCCACAAACAGTCGTGGATTGAAAATGACCAATATATTATTGTTTTTTTTTGGAGGGATTATTATTAGGCTCTGTGTGGAGTAAGGAAACTTGCCCAAGGTTTCGCCCTCTGCCGGGAATTGAACTCAGGTCTCTCGCTTGCAAAGCGAGTGCTCTAACCACTGAGCTACAGGACTCCACAGATGCAGGTTGGCAAGAGCCAAGGCTTGGGGGAACCCAGAGTGTGCTTTGGGGTAACTGCTGGAGACTAACCAGCTAAGACCGCATAGCTTGCCATTGATATCATTGTCTAGCACAGCTATGAATATAGAGTAGGTGGGATACTGACTCCCACCCTCATGACAACTGTAAAATATGCCCATTCCCAGTGCAGAAGGGCTCAGCCCCACATCTATGAGGATTGTTGACTCTGAATCGATCCCCATTGCAGCCTGCAGCCCTGTGAATGCTTCGCATAGTTGCAGACAGGCTATTCTTAGCTTGTACCTTAGCAGGAATTCCATCTCAGAGAGCGCTGAGACACTGCAATGCACTGCACGGCTTAAACGCAGAGCGACAGACACAGCCCTACAGTCAAGCTCCTCCTGGGAGCTCTTGGGCTCCTGCTTGTAATGATGTTAACCTGAGCCAGCGTGGTGTCAGGGCACACAATACACAGCTTGTTAAAATGACACTGACTGCCCAGAGCACACGGATTCAAGGGCAATGTGGCCACACATCACATCCTAATGCTAATAATCCCAGCATTTTGACATAGCACCGATAACATCACCAAAATGGCTCACAGCACTTCACAGATAATTTGAGTCAACTGTAGTGACTACTTCTGAAGGTAAATGCGACAGCCAACTGTACACATCAAGGTCCCACAAAGAGACAAGAAGTGAATGGCCACAGGATCTTTAATGTCCGTGTGAATAGGCAGGTGAGACCTTGGTTTAATGTTTCATCAGGAGGATGGCATCTGTGACAAACACTGCACTGGAGGGTCAGCCTAGGTATGGACAGAGAGATGGTTGAAGGGCAGAAAGGAATGAATAAGGAAAGGGGTGGGTTATGAGAGGGGGAATAGTAAATACATTATTGGGACAGTAAGTCAGTAACTGAAGGTACAAATATAAGATTAGAAAATAATTCTTTACACAGAAGCTGAACAAAGGTTCAGTGAGAGAGGAAAGTCTTGCGAAGGGGTGGATGGGGGGAGCTTTAAAAGTGAAGCGGGAAGAAGGGGCAAGTTGGTGGGACTCTGGGATGGAGTTCCAGAGAGCAGGGGCGGAGTGGCTGAAGGCTCAAGCATCGATGGTGAAGAGGATAGGGTGGGGGAATGGGCTCACTGAGTGGAAGGAGAGGCCAGGTGGCTAGAGTTGCAGGAGGTTTCGAGAGAGGGTTGGGTGAGGCCATGGAGGGATTCGATCGTGAGGATCAGGATCTTGAATTCGATCCGCTGGCTGGGGATGGAGAGCCGTTGGAGCCTGAGCAACGATGGGGATGATAGGAGCCTGGTGCAGGGGTAGGCGAGGACACGGTCTGCACAGTTATAGACGGAGTTCACCACAATAACCTTTATCTCAGAAACTGTCCAAATATAAATGTGTAAATGACAAAAAATAAATGTTTCCCTTTCTTTCAAATTAAATACTTGGGGAATATTTCTGCGTGTTCTGGCGCTCACTCTGAACAGATGTCATAACGTGCATTACATAGAGAAAGTCTTTGATCTATTCCAATCAGAACTCATTGACCCACTTCCACCTGCCCTCAGAAAGTCTCCAGTTATTCAGGATGTAGGATTAATGAGACAGAATGCAGGTGATTTCTGAGCTCCACTGTGAATGCGGGACCTGGCATGGGCTGTGATCATCAAGGGGACTTTAAAGTCAAAGCAACGCATGAATTTTTTGCTTCTGTTCATTGGTTCTGAAGCTGCCGTCAGTCAGATATGTTTCTTAATGAATTTTGAGCTTATCAAAGTGACATTGTTAGTGCTGGGAAATGAAGCAACCAGAGCTCCCAGATCATCTACAGCACGGGTTAGCTAATAATAACAATAATAATAATAATAATAATAATCCTTCCATTTGATATAGCTCCTTATCATGTTGTTGAGACGTCTCATAATGCTTCACAGGATATATTATAAAATGGATTGACTGCATATCTTGTGGGCGAAATGTGACAACCAATCACGCACAGCAGTGCCCGCAAACAGTCGTGGATTGAGATACAGAGCAAAGCTCCCTCTACACCGTCCGTCCACGCTCTCAGGTGAACGACTGCACGGGTTAAATACAGAGCAAAGCTCCCTCTACACTGTCTATCCGGCACACTCCGGTCAAGCACATCAACTGAGCCAGGCTGACACACTTAAACCTTCTCCGCTCTAATGTAAAACAGAAACGGTGGTCACACTTGAGAGAGAGTCTGTCGTCCTATCAGCCCGGGCTGGATTCAAACCCAGGTCCCTGAGATGATAGATCTGTTTCTAATTAATTTATATTAAGTTTAATTAACAAATGTGAAAGCGAAGCAGTGAGACCTTCAAAAATATTTAAAAATTACCCCATTTGGGTGCAGCTCCTCAGCAGTAAAATACGGGGAATGAGATGACAACCGATATCAACCAAACTAGATAGCTAATATACAGGAATAATAATCCTTCCTTTTTTTTTGATACAGCGGCTTATCACGTTGTTGCGACGTCTCAAACGCTTCACACAACATCCTGTGAAGTGACTTGACTGTAGAGTTTGTGGGCGAAATGCAGCAGCCAGTTGCGCACAGCGGTATCCCGCAAACAGTCGTGGATTGAGTGACCGAACTATTATTATATTTTTGCCAAGGGATTATTACCCCGATTGATCCGGAGTTGATCTGCCAATCGACTCAAAACCCGAGTTCCTGCTTACAGCTGGGTAAACAGAGGCGTGTGGAGTAAGGAAACTTGCCTAAGGTTTCAGCCCACCCGGGAATCGAACCCATGGTCCCCTCGCTTGCACAAGCAGAGTTAAATCCGTGTTCGATCAATAGTGTGTTTCTAGGTTTTTCTCGATTGAATACATCTTGATTTATGGCATGAATCAAGAAATATTCAATCCAGAAAATGTAGAAAAAAGGTTTGGCCACCACTGATTTAGACGTTGTGAGTTCGAAATCCCGAGGAGGGGCTTGAACTCTGCGAACTTCTGACTCGGGAGGCGAGAATGCTCCCGACTGAGCCAGGCTGTCGCAAACTACACTGGTGTAGTAACTGCAAAGCTGTGAAGTGCTTTGAGACATCCTCCTAATAAGGCAGTAAGCTATAATAATAAAAACAATAACAATAATCCCTGCATTGCATACAGCGCCTTATCACGTCTTCGAGACGTCTCAAAGCGCTTCGCAGGACACACTGTGAAGTGAATCGACTGTATATTTCGTGGGAGAAACGCGGCAAGGCAATCGCGCCCGGCAGCGTCCCCACTGACAGCCGCAGTTTGAGTGACCAAATGATTAATATTATTACTGTACCAAACGCAAGGACTTAGTATGAATATATACGCAGAATCTACCGGGTGACGACTGTACTCAATGCTGTGCATGTCCAGTGGTCCTAACATACAACCTGCGTAGTGTGTATTGCATGTATGTATGTTAACACATGTGTGTGTCTGGGGAGAAGACCAGCCTTTAGTAACTTTACCTGAATCCATCCTCTGGCGAATCCCCCCAACCCACAGACAGGGAGTCTGGTGCCTGCGATGGGGGCTCCTGTGAGATAGTATCCATCCTAGTGGCGGTGGGGGGGGGGTGGTGGGGGGGGAGAGGAGGAGGAGGGGGGAGGAAGGGCTGCAAAGGGAGAGAGAGAGCGAGAGTGAGTGTGCGATGTATCCCTGGTGGGGGGTGGGTGGGGGGGGGGGGGAGAGGCACAGATACAATATAACGGGGAGACATGGCAGGATGTCAATGTATCACAAGGGAAAGGGAAGGACACACAGGGTCTGGGAGACTTGACACAGAACCAGGAGCCCCACAGCCTGGGCTCTGGCATCAGGGGCTCAGGGATCGGGGGATCAGGGGATCGGTCTGTACCTGTAGAGAGCGCGGGATCTGCGGAATCCGCTGCTGTGTCTGTGTGTGTCTGTGTCTGTCTGTGGTTTTTCTGGGAGCTCAGGTCCACCTCCTCTGCTCGCAGCCTCCGCTCTGCTTCTCACTGACGTCGTTTGCTATCACCCAAAAGGAGCCCGAGTTAAAAGGGAAATGCAAGGGCTAATGTGGAATGAGATGAGGAGGGAGGAAGGGCGGTGGTGGGGGTGGGGGGTACAGATACACAGCCTGGGTACTGCCCAGCCCAGCTCAAGGCGGGGGGAATGTCCCCAAGACTAGTAAATTATAAACTCACCACCCACCGCCCCCCCACACCACACACACACACACACACACACACACACCCTATTTCTAACCTCCCTGCAGTACACCTTCGGTATCTCACCTGGCCTTGTCCCTGGCCAACAATCCTCCAGTAAATAATTCACTCTCGTTCGCTGCGAAACTGGTCACGGTCAATCCGCTGTACAATACAGCCCGCGCTTCGAGCAATCTCATACGACACGATAAGGCCCTCTTTCCAATCTGAGGATTGCTATCACACAAAAAATTGCCGAATGAACAAATCACAACATATCCCCCCCCCCCCCTCCCCCCCCACCACCACCACCCCCCAAAAAAATCGACTCCACCAAATCTCCGAGAGGGAAAGCAATCGAAGAGGAAGGAGCCGGAGAAGAAAAGGGGGGGTCACGCGTGCCATAGTAAAGTAACAAAATAATAATTCAAGAAATTCCAGAGTGTCAAAAACACAACGTCTCAGGACATTTTTGAAAGATTAAACCGTTTTTCCACTCTATTACGTGCGTCATTAAACGTGCGCTGGGTCAGGAAAAAAATACTCTCTGTCCACGAATTTGTCCAGAGGGTCTTTGGCCACAGCCCAGGAGATTAGTTGGTGTGGTAGAGACTGTGCATTCCCCCTGTGCAGTGCATCAGTGGATGGATGGGCTCATCTCTCTTATGACTATACCTAAGGAATTTCTAAGTTTAGTCCCTTAATTTTTAAGTGCAACATAATCCACGGGCAAGTGCCGTCGATGTATCAGACTCCTGTGTGCAGGCCGGAGTCGGGGACAAGCCCTTTGCGCAGTGAGTGTTGGCAAGATATTCAGCGAATGAGCAGGGCATCAAACCTGAGGCCACGCTGCGCAGTGCAGCAAATAATGTTCGCGCACAGTACCAGCGCACAGCTTCGAATGACCAGAGCCGGTGCACGAAGCTCGTATACAGTACTAATGAACAGCAAAGCATAGAGAGCCAGAAAGCATACACTGCTCCGAGACACGATTCTACTATACTGCTTGAAGGGCACTATGTGAATCGCTGTTGTTCTTGTTGTTGGGTGTAGCGTCGCAGTACAGCGTCCTACCCCAATGGTTAACCGCAGCAAACTACACCCAGTGTGTAGCACCAGCACTAACACACAGCACCGGTATTCAGTATATACCAACACCTGCGTACCGCATGAGTATTCGGGATCTTCAACATCTACCTGAACAGGTCGGTCCTTAGTTTAACGTCTCATCTGAAGGATGGCACCTCCGGCCATGCAGAGCTCCCCCAGTGTCACCTCAAACTGCCAGTTGCAGCGGTGGTGTGGGGCTTGGACAACCTCACCACTGTCGCTGAACCAGGCTGACACCTTCGTCTTCCGCCCCAGACAGCGCGGAGAATCTCACCACTGCATCATTAGCGCCCCCTTTCCGGCTCGTTGGGTAATTGCAATTCCTCGTGCTCTCTGTTTCAATACGTGCGAAGGGATGTTCAACGCACACTCGAGCAGGCAGACGGGAGCTCGGATTACAGCAATACGATACAATTCACACGTAGATAGCGTCTTTCTCCCCCCCCGGGAGGGTGTGCTTGACAAGGTGCTGGGGGCGTGGGAGCCGAGAGGGTGGGGAGCAGAAAGATGACCGAAAGCGCGGTCAAAGAAGTAATAATAATAATAATAATCTTTGCATTTGATATGAGAGTGAGGGCTTTACACCAGAGATATCATGAGCACATCAAACCAGAGCAGGACCTCCTGTGCCTCTGGGTGGGAGGGGGTCAGGAGGAACCATCTGATTGATACACATAGAAACATTCAGCCTCCGTCCCCACCCAGTCCAGCCCAGCTCAGCCCAGCTCACACTGGTGGCTGACGTGGAGTGGGCTATATAGAGAGCCAGTTGGGCTGCGCTGTGCTTTGCTTTGCTGCGGGTTATCAGCCTCTAAGGCTCTCTGTGGCCGAGAATGCTGAACTTGCCGCTGCTCCTGACCTTACTCAGTCTCCGGCAGACAGGTTACTGCTACAACATCAACCCTGAGAAGCTGAAGGGTCTGTCCAAGGCGAGGCTGGAGGTGAGGAGCTGGAGTAGAGCACTTGACAAACTCTGCCCCGCACAGCCTCCCTTCTCACTGACATCTTCTAATCGATGGTTTGCCTTTTTTCTTTGGTTCCTTTACAGACGTGCAGCGGATGACAGTTATCTGTGCTTAAAGAGGTGAGGAGCCAACTTTCCTTTCTCAGATCTTTGTTTCCAAATAGGCTCTTCCAAACAGAGCAGAAAGATGGACAGATGGAGAGAGGTGGAGAGATTTGAGAGAGAGAGATGGAGAGAGAGAAAAAAAATGTCGCGGGCAAACGGACTGTGGGAAATGGACACGTTTAAACCTTAAACCTGCTTAAATCGAAATCTTAAATAAACATACAAGGAAACTGATTTGAGGTCCCATCAAAGACGAGACAACACGGGAAGAAATATTCAGAAAAAGTATCCTGCGAATGAGATGTTACTGGAGCGGCTGATTGTTTGGGACGTGATCACTGAGCGATTTCATTGTGTTCCCTGTTCACAGGTCAAGGCCTTTATAGAAGAAGATCTTCCTCTTTAGTATCCTTTAGTGGTCATGTGTTGCATGTGTGCTCTGGGGCGCTATATAGATGCAAGTTGTTGTTGTTGTTATGTGTATACGTACACGTGTGTGTACATGTGCGCAAATCAAGTGGGCGTGTGTTGAGTGCACGTGTTGAACGCGTGCGTAACGTGGTGAATTCGGAAATTTGTTGAACAGAAATCTCGGACGTGTGGACTGATGGGGGGAGTGGGGTGGGGAGGGGTGGGGGGGTCGCGGTTGATTGTTGGTCAGTCGGTCAGTCGGTCGAGTGGTTATGGATGGCTGGATCTCCATGAGCAACACAAGCATTAAATTGTATCTCAGGATAGGAAGTCTCCTCTGTCCCATTGGCACGTCACCACTTGTTGTTGGCTGTGAGGGGTCGCGAGTCAGCGATTCATTCAGGAATCTAATTGGCCTCAGTGACCCTGATGGTGAGTGAGGGGGGAGGAGGGGAATTGTCTGCGGGTCTGATTCTGATGACTACCCAGTGTGTGATGTTGGGGAAGTATATTTTGTTTTGCCCACAAAATATACAGTCAATTCACCTTACGGGACATTCTGTGAAGCGCTTTGAGACGTCTCAAAGACATGACAAGGCGCTATATCAACTGCAAGGATTATTATTATTATTATTATGTCCCAGGAGTGTGGATATGTAACTGTGTGTGTGAGGTTCCTGGGCACAGCCTATACACCTTTTCCTGATCCTCTCACAAAGCCACAATCTGCTACTAAGGTATTCGTCGGGATCACATCCAGAGCTCGTCCTCCTCAACTACGTGTACGTGGAACTGGATGTAAGATATTCCGCACTTTATTTACTCCAGCTTTTCCCTGGGCTTGTTGAGCTCAGGAGAGCGACCATGGCCACTGTAGACCGCAAAGCAATAACCAGCACTCGCACAATTTGTGCCTTTCATTGAAACTCCCATCATTGATTTGATGCAAAGTGCCCTCCAATCTGCCCCAACCTGGGGAAGAGCGCCCCCTGCTGTACCGGTCTGGCATTTCCCAAGGCGATTGGGTGTCTTCACACGTTTCTGAGGAGCTCCTCAGGGCTGCCCTGCTGGATGTCCTCAAGGCTGGAAAAGGTCCTGAAAAGGGTTCAAGTAGTGATAGATTCTTGTAGATTCTTCTTCAAGATTGAGGTGGATAGATATTTGTTAGGTCAGGGTATTAAGGGATACGGGGCCAAGGCGGGTAATTGGATTTGAGGCACAGATCAGCCATGATCTTGTAGAATGGAGGAACAGGCTCGAGGGGCTGAGAATGGCCTCATCCTGTTTCGAAGAAGGGAGGGAGGGAGGAGGTGATCAGGAGAGGAAGGGCGAAAAGATAAGCTGGGAATAAGCAATACCCCATGTGAAGGTTGCTATATAAATGCAAATAGTTGATCTGTTGGGGCGCTGAGAGCCGGTGGGCGATGGGGGAAGAGGTGGAAGATGTGGAGGGTCTTCGTTCAGGAGAGGAAACAGACTGTGGATTATGTATAAGTTGAAGGTTACAGAGGAAGGGGGAGGAGAGGTGGTGTGTACTGTGGAGATGGTGAGAGCTTACACTGTGTGATTGGTCCCCGCAGCGGATTCCGATCAATCAGATGTCACAGGAAGAGATTAATGAGTTGCTGCAGGACCTGGGCTTTTTCAAGAAGAGGAACATTGATGACCTGGTGCCAGAGGACATGTACTTCTCTCCTCTCCGAGGTCTGCCCAACCCCCGCCCCAGCCTGCTGAAAAAAGGGCTGAAAATAAAACGTCTCGTGAACCAGACCGAGGATATGAAGGAGGATCTGTAGACCTCAGGGCAGTACTCTCCTTCCTTTCCTCTCTCATCCCTCCCTCCCTCATCCCTCCTTCCCTTTCTCCCTCCCTGTCCACCTTTCACCATCATCGCTGGCATCTTATCCCCGGCTTTCTGTTCTAACACATCACAATGGGCTTGTGACCACTGAACAAAGCTGAACATTTCCCGGCATCTCTCCCCCCCCACCCTCCCACCCACAACAACCACTAAAAAAAAATTGTATACGGTTCACTTCACTTCGGGAGGATATTCCCAAGTCTAGGGTTGGCACCCGAGCTGGGGTGGGAGCCGAGGGAAGATAGGGAGACAAACTGTGGTCCAGAATTCTCTTCCGCTGTCAATCTCTCCCCCATCATAATAATAACCCTTACATTCGATGTAGTGCCTTATCCTGCCATTGTGACGTCTCTGTCCCTCTGATGTTTACACATTATACCTTCAAGAGCGGAACCGGAGGAGAACAGGAGCAAAGAGGGCGGTGAAACAGACCCGGCTGCTGTTGCTGAACACCTGAGAACCGCTCAAGACCCACCCTCCGAGCTCACAGACGCCTGCCTTCCTGCCGGAGGCCCCTGAGCTTGTGCCACACTAAGCTGCCGATCTCTACCGCCTGTGCCCACTATGGATCACCTCTGTGGTGAGCCACCGATCGCTGCCGGTCGCTTGCACGATGAGCTGATGGCTCCCGGCACAGGTTTTGGTGATCGGTTCGCGAGTGTGGTTTGCCCGGCCGCCACCAGCCAAAGCACCAAAGAGCCGCCGCTCGAGGGAACGCCCGGCGCACGCTGACGTAGGCGCTGATGTTGGCGATCCGTGGGCACAGACTGGCATCTCGTGCCCCCGAGGGACTGGAATGAAGCGCTCAGCTGAAAGGTACCAGGCTGAGGGCGGAGCCTGCCGTCCCTGGGAGCGAGGGATCCGTGCGTCAGCAGCACAGGGAGAGCTCACAGTCTGACTGTGTCGCTGCTCGCTCCGGCTTTAGGTTTCAATAAATGCTCCACTTTCACTGAACACGTTTCGTTTGTTGGAATAATTTGCGTCTGTGACTGTGGGGAGTGGATGGTAAATAGCTGTGCTGAAACATCGCTCTCTCTCCCGCGCTCTCTCTTTCTCTCTCTCTCTCTCTCTCTGAGCCAAGCCTATCTATCGTCAATGACCTTCTTCCTGAACAACAACAGCCCCTTGAGACATCCTCCTGACGTGAAAGGCGCTGTTAACAATTTAAACTTATTGTTGCTGTTGTTGTCAGCTCCAGAAACAGTTACTCACAAGGCGGTTCAGATCTTCAGAGGTGTCCCTGTGCAGGTGGCAGACATATGCAGAACGTTCAATTGCTTTGGAGACTCTTAAGCCTATCGCTAGGTTTCCACATGTGCCAGACAGCCGGTTAATCCCAAAACAAATACTGCTCGTGAGAGTTAAACTCGGTTGAGGTATTTTTACAGTCCATTCAGGGAAGGGGAGTGTGACAAAATGTGGCTGTTTTTGAACAAATCGAGTGACTCAGATTTAATCTGCTGAGATGAATCTGTGCATAAACTCCCAGAGCCGCTGCTCCTTGTATAAAAATAGAAAAGGCTGGACAGATACAGCCGGTCGATCAGACTCCTGAAAGAGACAGAGAGAGAGACTCAGTGTGAAATCCTATCTCAGTTGTGAATTCTCACAAACAGTCACCATATAATAATAATAATAATCCTTGCATTTGATATAGAGTCTTATCACGTCTTTGAGACGTCTCAAAGCGTATGGTACCCTTCAAGTAGGTAGAGTCTTGTGGGTCTGTTTGTGTGGCATTGCTGTCCACAAATTGGCTGCTGTATTTTCCTGCAAATTCACAGTCAATGCATCTTACAATAATTCCTGAGAAGCGCTTTGAGATATTCGGACGATGTGATAAAGCGCTACATATATATCAAATATATATATATATATCAAATGCAAGGATTATTATATCAAATGCGAGGATTATTATTAAAGGCAAATTAACACCAATTGCTATTTGAGAGAGTTGATTTGATGGAAGGTGGTGAATGCACTACTGTTGCTGACGCTCTGTAGTATCGAAGGATAATTATTAAACGTTTAAGCCGCCTGTGTTGATGAGGGCCGACTGGCACTGCACATACACACATATACACACATATACACACATAGACACACATAGACACACATACACACACCCACAGCTGCAAACAAATCAATGTGACGGTGCTCCAGCACTGACCGCCCATCACCACCGGAGGGCAGCAATGAGCCACAGATAAAGATTACAATGACATGTATCTGTCGCCCTCTGGTGGTCAACAGAGCTAAAGCAATGAACAGCCGAGACCGCTTTTGATTGATTCCCTTCTAAAAATTAGACTCCAGGTTCAGTTGTCTCCAAAGGACACCTGACAAGTCCAGTCAGATCCACACTGTAGAAGGCTCTCCAGCTCGTCTGGACTCAGCTTTCATACAATCACATAAATATTATTGTAATGCGTGTGATTTAATGGACACGGTACATCTGCGGAGGGTTTGGGTGCAACAAACGAGTTGGGAAATGGATACCGATTCTGTTAGAACGCCCACACATCGCAGTGGCCAAGTTGCCCGAAAGAAAGAGCTCTGCCTCATACAATTCATTTGCTCGTCCCACAACCGGAAGAGTTAAAACCAGATGGTTTGCAGCCTTGGAGAATCCTGTCTTTCAAACGTTTAAGATTAAAAGCCATTCGAAAAGCCATTCAAAAACGAAGGAAAACAAAACACGGTTGAGAATTAAAACGTGGCGTCAAATTCAAGGCTAACTTTAATGATATTGAGAGCACGGTACAAGTGAACGCTAGAAAAATATGTACAGACACTCACGCGCGCACACAAAATGGCAGTTTTCTTCATCTATCTCAAGCGAGATAGAAACATTGCACCGGTTTTCATATACATTGTGACATTTGGGAGCTCAACAAATACAGTAAATGCGTGACGCTTACACACGTCAACGTGCTCTTCAGCACGGTGACAAGAGTTGCCAGGAAATAACATGCTCAGCAGGTTTCAAGTCACTGAAATTCAGAACCTGTGACATTTAACAGTGCCACGTACAGTGTTAAAGTATCCTAGTTTGCAGGTTGTGTTTTTATTGGAGGTTTATGAGCACATTATGTGGTTAGGTCTAGTTTCTCTGGAAGTGCTTGTTATGTAGTTAAACAGCGATTGTGGAATAATCAACGACTGGTTCATAGCTAATAACAAACCTAGTGGGTGGTTCACACTGCCTTAAAGCTACGTGCTGGAAATAATAATAATTATGGCTTTACCTGGGCATCGTAAACTTTAATGATTCTCTTGGGAACAAGGTTGAGTACCTAAAAAATGAATTCCCATCAATTAAACAGATCTTTATTTGTGGTCGCTGTGTGTAATAATTCAAACTAACTAAGATTGCAAATAAAGACAATAGCGCAAAATACAGTGAATTCATTTTATAGTATATTCTGTGAAGAGCTTTGAGCCGTCTCAAAGACGTGATAAGGCGCTATATCAAATGCAAGGATTATTATACCAACCCTTGCATTTGATATGGCACCTTATCACATCATCGAAACGTCCCAAAGCGCTTCACGGAATTTACTGTGAAGTGTAGTGACTATGTAATTGTAGGCGAAAATATATCAGTGGACTGTGTTTAAGATGGCAGTATCTCTTAATTTTCAGCTGTTTTAAATTAAAATGAATTTTAAAATTAGTGTAAAATTCTACAGTAACAGCGAGTCAGGGTTTTTCAATCAGAGTTGATCCAGGGATAAAGTCAGAGTAAACTCGAGTAAGAATTAAAACAGCATCATTCTTACTATCTTATTCCCTCTAAATAATTTTGAAATAAACACCACTGATTGTTATAATCCTTCAGCGTCCCCATTGTCTTCATATAAACCGTGAACCTAGTGTCAGTCAAACACTAAACACACATCCTGAAATCAGGCCATCAAGGTCACAACACTAATAACATTGGAGTCATTTCAATCTCATGTCAGAGTCTGTGAGCAGCTATAATCCACTGATCTGGTTACCGAGGTTCACATGCCTATCTCATTGAGTCTATCATCTGCTTCCTCACTGATATCAACGTGTTAAACTGACTTTTGTTCCACTAATGAGAGGTGTTTGTGTGTGTGTAGAGGGGTGGGGTGTGGATGTCTGTATATAGAGTAAGAAATGTAGGTGGGGATCTACATGTGTATATATGTTCATAGTCCTAAATCCCACTTAACCGTACCCTATTTTCACTTCGGTCTGTCCATGTAATAAGTATTCAACAGCCCCAGAACCTCATCTCTCCCATCCCAGAACAAGGCAGTAACTGACCCTCAGGAAGCAGAATGCAGTAATCACTCTCCTCACATAGAATATATCACAAGTGAGAGCAGCTTCTACCATTCAGCCCCTGTCCGTGCCCACATCAGTGAACACTTCCTTTGTAGCGCTTTTCAACAACCTTATTTAATTATAAATCCCCTCTATAATAATAATATAAATCTGTGAAAACGTATAGTGGATATTATTTGTATTAATATATTTGTGTATCTATTAATAAGTATCGAGATTTTGTGCTGTCTTTTTACAAATGTTCTTAATCTCTAGGAGCTCCACATAGCAGTGGGGAGCCTGAGAATCTAGCTTTATATATCATCAATAAATATATCATCTCTCAATGTGGTGAGGCGTGCGAGAGAGCAGAGAGGCACAGGCTGAGGGTAAAATTTCTATTCAATTCTGCACCGTGGAGGCCTCAAAGTGAAATCATTTCTAATTTTACAATAAACAGTATTTTTTTTACATTTTCTCTTCAAGGTAAACAATTTTCTTTTTCCTGCACACGTGATCCGTGAAAGATCCAACTTAAAACAAACGTCAATTGCACGATTTACAAAGAAACTCTTTCTTGCTGTGGTTCCCCACACAGGGAACTTGATAATACACATTGGAGTTGGAGACAGCTGTGTTATTACAAATCAAAAGTCTCTGTGTTCATATCACGAGTTTGACCTAAGGATCTGTGTTCTCTGTGAGTTGGTGGCTGATTATGTAAAAACAAGGTGAGTTTAACAATAAGGAAGGTTACTTCTAAAAAGGTTTAAAGTTGATTATTTTTCTGTGGTGTTGGATAATATTACGTACTGGACTCTAATCTTATAATACTCAGTAAACAAACACATCGCCCTGGCAATTTACAATTACCCTGACATTCATGATGTAAAAAAAAACACAAAAAAAAAATCCCAGAGCAATGGGCAGCCCACACGGGCTCAGCTGTGAGTCCTGATAATTCTCTCAAACACAGGCCAGATTGAAACAACAACAAAAAATGACATTTATATAGTGCCTTTCACACTAGAAGGACGGTGGACTGAGTTTATGTTTCCAATGGACGAGGCCCAGGATTGTGTGTTGCAGTTACTCAAACTTCCGCAGGTGGTTATACAGGGACTGTACGTAGGTAAAGACACACTTGGAATCAGGTTTTTTACCCATGATCATCATATCTTCCACCTCAATCAGGGGGACACAGGAGGCGGTCTGTCTGTCAGGAGAAAACACATCAAACAGAGCGTTACATTTCAGGCAGCATAAATAAAGTGAAGCATTTCTCCACCCAATTTTTACTTTTATTTTCCCCTTTAGTCCTGAGCACTGATACCCACATTCCCAGTTAACAAAACAGCACAAAACAACTCATTCTCAGCCCCTGGCAATGCTAGTCTGGAGCTGGGCACCTAAAAGGTGACTGGCTTCTAGTCAACACACTTTCTCCAACAGAACTAGCCATATGGGGAGTGAATGGTGCAAATCAATGTGTGTTATAGTAACAGCAAACTCCGCAGCACTTACACACTGACTTAGCACATAAACCCAAACACTTTCAGCTCATGAACATGGTTTGTTTAGTTTGGGAGCCAGTGGTACAGTCTGGAACACAATCTGTATAGCATGCGAACACCAGGCTGTGCCAGCCTGGCTCGGTTGGTAGCGCTCTCACCTCTGAATCAGACGGTTGTGGGCTCAAGCCCCACGTTGGGACTTGGAGCTGGTAGTAGTCGAGGCTGACACTCCAGTGCAGTCCTGAGTGTGTGCTACATTGTTGAATTTTTTTTAGCCCAGCCGGCTGTCTGACACTTGCAGAAACTCATCACCGTGCTTAAGAGTACCCAAACCCACTTGAGATTTCCATGCATTCCACCTTCACATGGAAATCCTGGAGATAGATTGGAATGGAATATGCACTCTCTCTCTCTCCCTGGAGGGAAGCATTCTGCTGGCCTAATTACGGAAAGTATTAGGCGCAGGTTGGCAAGAGCCAAGGCTTCAGTGGTTAGAGCACTCACTTTGCAAGTGAGAGACCTGAGTTCAATTCCAGGCAGAGGGCGAAACCTTGGGCAAGTTTCCTTACTCCACACAGAGCCTAATAATAATCCCTCCAAAACCAAAAACAATAATTAAATTGGTCATTTTCAATCTACGACTGTTTGTGGGACATTGCTGTGCGCAATTGGCTGCCGCGTTCGCCCACAAATATACAGTCAATTCACTTTACAGTGTGTTCTGTGAAGCGCTTTGGGACGTCCTCCCGACGTGAAAAGCGCTATATCAAATGCAAGGATTATTATTATTATTATTATTGGGGGAGCCCAGAGTGTGAGTTGGAGGTAACTGCTGGAGTCTAACCAGCTGAGACCGCATAGCTTACCATTGATATCATTACGATAAGGTTGGAGGTGACATCACCCAACATTCAGGGTGTGTGAAATATCACAGATAACGTACCTTAAAAATATGATTTATTTTACCACTCTTATATTTTCTGATGTACTGACCCTCAATACATTACACACTCGCGCTGTATAAATGTTGACACACTGCAGGCGTGATATACTCTGATCACATACTGAAAAGCTGCTGCATATTTTCCATTCGAGGCTCAGTTACCATGTAACCACCATAACATTGGTTTCCAATGACAAAGCCGCTTTCCTTAAATAAATGTTTAGGGCTGGTGTATTTTTAGCTTACCTTCTCTCGTCACAAGGATGGAGAGAGAGAATCCAGAGCAACACTGAGACTCACATTTCATAAAACCTTTTCTACCCTTCTCATGCTGTGTATATGATGCTGCACCATTAGGAATATATGGAAAGTGAATGCTGAGACAGTGTTCACCTGAACCAAAGCTACGGACGGCAGTGTTAAGACTCTTCCAGGTATGAGTGAAAATGGGGCCACCAAGTGTACCAGGTCACTGAGTGAGGCAGGCTGACGGATTATTCTGTTCTATTTGACATGACCTATTCCCTGATAAACAATACACTTATCACTGCGTTTTTGTTCACATAAACTTATCGCTCCTTTATTTTGTATTATTACTTAAGTGATTTTCTCTCCTAATAGGGGTTCTGTGTGTGTATGTGCGTGTGTTTATGTGTATATGTATATGTGTGTGTGTAGTACTGTGGGTACAAACTTATATAGCGCCCTTCATGCAGGGAAGTGTGTCAGAGCGGAGCACAACTCCGTGCCAGAGGGAGGGGTAGAGGTGACGCAAATACATGAAGAATGGCTCCACTTGGGCCCCAGTGTATATTACCATGTGCCACAGTCTTCAGGTGAATGGAAACGCATAAACATACTTTACATCAAAAAACAAAAATTATAAATGGGATTGCTTTGTGTTCCCCACTAACAGAATGTCCTGTCCTTGAGCAACAGACAGACAGGTGGAGAAACAGGAAGAATCGATTCAAATATTGCCAGCATATTGCTGTGGATAATCTCACTGTGTGTTCCTAAATGTCTCTGTAGAGAAACCCTATCTACCCGACGCCCTATTGTATTTCACTGTGGCTCACGACAACACGTGAAGTGCTCCAGTAAAGTGTAACCAGAGATCGAGAGCAGGTGCTGAGAGCTGAGCCAGGGGGAGGCGAGGCGAAAGAGTGTACTTTGATTGCTTATAAATAGAAACCTTTTAAGGGGATTCATCTTTATAATGGGATTCCTATTAATTTTACAGATTGCAATAGATTAGATCCAGCTGAGAATAAAGAACAGCTCCATCACTGTTTCCTTCCCTGAGAGCCGTTTCACATCCCAAATGGAATTAATTCGAACGCTGTCAGTCAAAGGTTCCCAATCCAGTAACACACTGTCTGTGTTCAGGGGGAGTTGCCGTTCAATGACTTTCAATTTATTTGATGTTCCTCCTTCAAGAGGGCCCAATTCTACACACAGAGCGTGGGAACCTGAACGGAGACCCTGATGTTTTCAGACAAAGACGTGACTGAACATCAGCAGTCGTTTGCATTTGCTGCTTCATCAACAATTACTTTGGGATCTTAGAACATTAGGAAAATACCATCCTTCGGCTCAGAGACCATATAGCCTTCTAGTTTAAATAACCCTAATAATCCTTACATTTGATACAGCGTCTTTCACATCAGGAGCTTGTCTCAAAACACTTCACAGGATTTACTAATCTTGCAAAGTGCAGTGACTGTATTTTGTAGGCAAACACGGCAGCCAACAACTTGAGTCCTGCAGTGTCCTTCAGTCTAACAGCCATGAAGTAAATGACCAATTCTATTTGAGAAAGTGTTCACTAGGACACTGGGAGAAACTCCCTTCTCATTTTGAATAGTGCAATGAGATCTTTAATCTCACCTAAAGAGATTAGGCAGGACCTTGGTTTATAATATATATAATAATCTTTGCATTTGATATATTGAGGCGTCTCAAAGCGCTTCACAGAATATACTGTAAAGTGAATTGACTATATTTTGTGACTAAAACTCAGCAGCCAATTGCGCACAGCAGTGTCCTACAAACAGTCGTGGATTGAGTGACCAAATTATTAAAACAATAAGTAAAATAATCTTCAAAGCTAATGGTTTAACATCTTTCCAAAGGATGGCGGATCCAAAAATGCTCCCATGTTCCCATAAGTAACCTTCCTTATTGTTATAGTCTCACATTATTCACAAGGAGAATGGATCCTGGCCAATTATCCTCCAGGTAAATTAGTCATTCACTTCATGGCTATATGTGGGACCTTGCTGCCATACTACACAATACAGTTACTACACTTAATAGGAAATACTACTTCGTTGAAGTAGTCTTTAGTGTAGTAACTAGAATGGGTGTTTGTGTTACAGTATAATGCAATTGGCCATGTTACTGTGTGCTATTATATCATCAAATGGAGAAACATCAGGGTCAATGTCAGCCGCAGGTTTACCAGTTACCTGTGGCCTCCTTGAGCTTCTAGTTACTGCCCTCACTCTCCTCAGGCCGGTTCACACTCAGCAAAATGTGCTTCTGCAGTTACAAGACCAACAACAACAACTTGCATTTTACACAGTGCCCTTCAGACGGGGCAGCGCCTTGGAGCGTTTAGCAGTGGCAGAGTCTGACGCTAAGCCGGGGGGAGAGAGGAGGTGACTGTAAGCACGGTCGTGATCTAAAAGAAGGCAAGGAGGGGGCAAGGTGGAGGGATTTGGGGGGAGAGCGTTCCAAAGCTTCAGGGCGTAGTGGATGAAGGAGGTGCGCGTGTGTGTTCCTGTCGACCATAAGCCGAAAAGTGTTAAAAATCATCCCCCACCTCACCCAATTTCAGACAACTTCACACACGACAATGTTATTCAGTCCGACTGGTCTACACGATCTGTAAGTCGTGGCAAATGACAATTACATTTTAAAACTGTTTTGTGGAAAAAGTGGAAGAGGGGCCCAACAGATGATTCCTATCAGAAACCTGCCTGGCTAGAGGAGATGCTGCTGGACTGAAAAGGGGCATATTAGGGGGGAAAAAAAACGAATTAAAAGCCAGGCGATGATAAATGCCATTTGTTTTTAGAAATTCTTATTCATAAATCATTGTGGAATCCTCTCCGGAGAATGCCACGGAAAGACAAACAAACTGATGTGGATCTGTAATGGAGCACATAGCCAGCAAATATGCATCTTTCTGCTGTCAGTTTCCTGTCAGTGTTCCTTTCAAGTGGGATGAACTAAAGCTGCCGTACACAGAAGCCACTGGGAATGATAACACCCTGGCGTTGAGATGCCTGTGCACTGGGGTTGTGTCTGCCATTGCCATGTGGTGAGGAGTCACTGAGTAGAGTCCAAGCAATTTCCCACTGAGAGAGCGAGGAAGAGTAACCCAGCTATTCCCCATGGCTGTTCAGGGACAAGTGACAGAGACCCAGGGGTGGCATTCAATTCAAGGTTATAAGTAGAAAAGGGTGAATAAAATAAATACAACAACCAATTGCGTTTATATTGCTCCTTTCACGTCGGGAGGATGTCCCAAGCGCTTCTTAAATATTTTTCAAGTAAAACTGGAAGGAAAATTAAAAGCTAGAGTTCAAGTCCTTCAAGGTCAATGTAGGTAGGAAAGCAGGTCGTCAAACATTACCTGCAGCCTTCATTTTAAAATCATAACGCCTGGGACTCAGAGACACACCGTGATTATCTTACTTCACATGAGAAGGACTATATTAAGTAAACGACCATATTAAGTGCTTCAGATGCCTGTTAATTCTTTTGCCAGAAAAGCTTAACTTGTACTGTTGAAAAACATGGCCTGCATACATATCACTCGGGCACAGTAATAACAAGCCGTCAGGGCCCATGGAAACCTCTTCAATTAGTCTCCAGTTTGGGACACTTTGTTTGGTAGCCAAGGAAACCCAGGCATTTTCTCAAACACACTGCCATATTAATGTAAACCTTAACTCCCCACCACCACAATTATTTTTATAGTCAAGCTAACATGTGATGTAACTTGGCTGATGACTCATTGACAATGAACATTATTGGTATTATATGGTATCTCACTGAACATCAAGAAAAAAACAACTTCTCACAGTACCGATATCTCAGTGAGAAGGAGCTATACCCAGAATGGGCAAATGAATGCTTTTCTTGGTAAATTGCACTTTCGCAAAGGATTTTATGTTCACAAACCTGAGACTTGTCTTGTTCCCTGATGCAATTTAAAATGCTGAATGCTGTTCAGTGTATCACAGGTGAGATCTTTATATCTCTGTGTTGCATAAATTATGGCACAAACCTAGTTATAGCCAAAGGAAATTCTCTGCACCAGAAAACTCTAATATTGAATTGAGAATCACAGGCAGAGGCATATAAACACACTCCAAACAGGGGTGTAAGTTCAGTCGGCAGAAACACTGCAGACGAATAGTTACCTGGAACCATGGGTGCAAATACTGGCACATCCCAGGTTACACACCAGGAGATATGTGTCCAAATATAAAATGTACACTCTGTAACTCTTAAAAAAGACTTCAAAACAAGTACAGAAGTGTTAATAGTTATTGTACACATGGTGGTCAGAAGATACAGCAGACTGCCACAGATGAACTTAGACAGTTCTGAGGCATTCAAGAAACAGATACTCAGTAAATGAGGATATTAAAGGTTAGTGTTTACAGGAAGGGAAAGCTGCCATAGACTTAACGGACTGAGTGGCCCATTAGTTCTATTGCAGAAAGCAGTGCAGGTTTGATGTGGTTAGAAGGATTCCACTGTTTGTTTTATTGAATATTCTGTCAAGCAAGAATCTCTCAAGTTATTTTTCATAATTATAGTATGTTGTACCATAAAAATCATATCATCACATCCCTAAGAGGATAGTGCAGTTGGGAATGGAGCTAAAACCACAGACAGATAGAAACAAACAAACAATTAAAGAAAGTCAAACATTCATTGCCTTTCTACACCTCAGTTTCTCTACTGTGAAGTAATAAAATGAAAGAGAACTAACTGTCATACAAACATAAAACACAGAAAAAAACAAGAGCGGTAAATGAGCAAATATGTCCCTATATTCCTCCTTTACTGGGAGAAACTAAAAAAAATTAAAATGGACATATTAAAAAGAAACCAAAGGGGAAGGAAAACATTTTTTTTCCATTTTTACCAAAGTCTGCTACGACCTAAAATTTCTAAGGCAGATAAGGTCTCTCACCCTTTCTCTCTGATAATCCCTAGGAGGAGTTTTTGGTTTTTACCAGCCCCTGCTGGACCAGACTGCGATAATACTCCTGAATGTAAGTGTAAACACATTTCCAGTCGGGCTCCTTCATCCGTACCATATCTTCCACATCCAGTAGCTGCGGGCAGTCGGCATGCTTCCTACGGGGCCAAGAGGAGAGAGGGGGAAAGAGAGGGGGAATCAAACGAGAGAGGAAACAGGACACAGCGGGGAAGAGAAGAGAGGAAAAAAAAAAGTGAGGAAGAAGAAGAAACAAAAAAAGAACATCAAAATTACATCCATTTAGTGACATACAATGAACAAAAGAAACATGCTTCATGATATGCAACGGCATCAACACAGTGCTTGATACAAACCCATTGAACATGGAATGCAGCACATGACAGGAACATGGTAACTACATCAAAGCAATGGTTCTCGAGGATGTATATGCGATTTACAAGCACATTAATGGCGATGAGAATGCATGAAGGTTCGGCAAGCAAAGTTAATGTGGACAAAGTTCAGGATATTGACAGAGAGAGTCAATATACATGAGCCAACAAATCAGCGAGAAACAGAATTTGAAGCTAAGAGCAGATTTCAAGTAATGAAAAGGATTCCGTGAGATGGGGAACGGTGTCTAACCCAGAGAGCTTCATTAGCCAGTCCTTCTAAGCAACAATCAGCAAATATTTTTACTGTATCCAATGGTTTGTTTCATCCAATTTTGATCAAAGAAAAACAAAATGTCGTTCTTCCTCCGCTTCCCTCATATCTTCCAATGAAGCCCACTGTTGCTGCAGAGGACTGTTAACGAAGAATGAGAATGCTTATGCGAGAAGGAGATGAGCAATTCTGCTTTTGCTTTGCAGTGAAGGCAGATGGAGCAACTGTGAAACCCTTGAGAAGGAGAAACGATGAGAAACCACAAAACCCTGGACATTATACAGCGTGCAATAACAAGACACAAATTTAACAGAGGACACAGAGAGGGGGTTTAACATCATGAAGCCTCCATTAGAGGCCCTAACCGAATCTTTCAGATGTACGTTCCCTGAGCAATCCAATAATGAGCAGTTTTTTTTTACTGGACAATGATTTAGCTTTAAGACATCAAATTGTATTAAGTTTCAAGCATTTTGTTCTCTCTCAGGCACAAGGATTGCGAGACCACCTGTTGGCTGATCAGGAGGATCTTGGCTTAAGAAGCTGGTGTCCTACCCTTTCATGGCTTAGACGTGGGACAAAGAATGACGAGATTTAAAGATGGGAAGGAAAAGCTGTCCTTTTCGTTTTTGCAATTTTCCCCCTTTCTTTTCTCTTGAAGGAGTTGGCTAATGTTGGGGTCTGGTTCCATTCTTATTGGTAAGCCTCTAGTACCTCCCTTCCCTTCCTATTTTCCCTTCCTAGCCCAGGGACAATGAGGCCAATTGTAGCATTCCTACCTTTATACTGTCTGAGATGAGCTAACCAGCATTGTCTGGGGATTCAAGCATCGCCTGGTCTGCATAGTTTAGTAGCACTACACAAGGGGAACCTAGAAGGTAACTTTGGAGCTCCCTTTACCTCCAGAATGTGTTCACAACATAATTATATTCCTATAAGCATCTGACAGATGTAAGCAGAACAGCCCGAGACATCCCAGCACGCTGCAGCACAAAAGGCAGCAACCAGAAGTAACAAATCCTGAGTCCAATGTATTGCAGCGTTCCCCTCTGCTCTGCTTATAACAGCAAGCAAACACCAACCAAGCCCCATCATCAAATGACAGTGCATCGCGCAATTAGAGAGAAGTAGTCACCACACCAGGGAAAGACTGAGCAACTGGGAGTTTCCCGCATGATTTATACACATCTCAAGCCACCGACAAATCACAGGTTGTTATGACCCAAGTAAAGTGATTATTTGTTTGTTAATGAACCCATAAATCCAATTACAACAAATCATTAAATCACTTTCCACAATAACAGATCCACTTCAGAATCAGTGCAGATGCTGATAAAACAATACAGAAGATATCCAAGGTCCCATAAGCTGGCAGCGAGCAGTGAAAGCATTGCTCAGAACAGTCACATTGGAGGAAAGTTTAGAAAGCTGTCAATGCCCACAGCGGGGGTTTTGTGAAGCTCAGCTGTCCGTTGCACTACAGAACACAGGAAGCAACCTCGGCTGTTATACTCAGGAATCCATCTTTAGGAATAAACATTGCAGAACCACAATTAACAGAAACACCAGCCAAATCTGCTGGGTTTTAACTTGGGTGTCTCACATTTATTTTAACGATATTGAGGCGTTAAACAAATACATTCCCCAACTACAGATAAAGTAACATCAATAACCTTTCAATGGGTTTGGAAGGAATAAAATGATCAGTTTTAACAAAAAGTGCTGATACCAGCCCTGTGTTTGCATGTGCCAATGCCAGCTCTGTATTTGCAGTGTCCACAGTGCCATAAGACAGAACCACAGTCATCAGAAATTAAGCACCGCTAAATAGGCTCTGCTTCGTGAATGTACATGAGATGGGACTCACACCTCCACACAGGGGTGGTATCAACCACTCTAGTTTTTATAGATCTGTTCCAGTTTCAATGACCCAGCTGTTAATATCTTTTAGAACAACCATTATCTAACAGTTGAGGCAACTGTCCTAACAGACTGAGAACCTGCACCAAAGCAGAAAGCATCAGCACTGTTTTTCACACTTGTTAGCAGCCCATTGTTACACCATTAGCACGTTACCCAGAGCAAAATAGATTTCAGAAGCTGCAGAGTGAACAGAGCGAGAATGTTATGTACAGAAAGTCCCTTGATTCTTCTATTGAAATGGAACAGCAATGTAGTCACACAGCGGATCCAAGGCATGCCTATTCTTTTGAAGACAAACTGTAATCACTTTTTCCCTAGTTCAGTGTTAAACAAACTAGGATCCAATGACGTTATTATTTAATGATTCCCTGCAATGTTATCACTCAGGTGAAATTTAACGCACATTCTTTAAGAATTTACTGTTGCAGTACCAGGTTACAAACTGGAAGTCCAGACAACATCGGTGAGTATTAAAAATGAATGGGGTACATACTCTGCCATTGTGAACGCCACCTCGAAGTTGTGCCTGCGATTGTTGGGGTTCAGCTGCGAGAAGTCAAACGCTTCGGGGAAGAAATTGTGGACAAGAGCGCAGAACGCCATGCCATCGCTCCAGCTGGAGGAGAAGTTCTGGATTTTCACATTCTGGCAGAGAGAGAGATCCGAAACATTGGTCCAGGTGACTTACAGAATTGGCCTCAGAATTAGGATTCAGCATTTAAGAATTACCCGAATTCTGGATGCTCTAAGTAAATAAAATAAACCTACATCCGGATGGAATTCCCTTCTTCCCTCCTACATTTGTTAATAGATTCTACTCTCCAATATTTGCTTGTGATTCAGCTACAATTTTTCCACTTATTTCCTATCATCAGAAGGCTGGTCGTGGCTTTGACTTTGACAATGCGCAATTATAATGGAAAAATAATAATAATAACCCTTGCATTTGAAAAAGTGCCATCATGTCTTCGAAACGTCTTAAAGTGTTTCACAGGTTATACTGTAAAGTGACCTGACTGTATATTTTGTGGGCGAAACCACAAAAAAAANTCCCATTAAAGGCCTAATGTTGATGAACCACAGGTGCTTACCTCATAACCACGGGTCTTGGCTCTGCACCAGTCAAGTAGCATCTGTTTAATACTGTTGGCATTGGGCACACCAAAACTCGAAGACCTCTGCACCTTCACCTTGGCAATAGCTGGATTTGCAGGGCTAGAGGAGAGCGAGGTCAGATTATTAATAGTCAAGCAGCTTTGTTTGAATTGTCCCCGTTCACAAACAATAAGGCAACATTAATCTCACAAAAAGGGCGAGATATTTCACTTGCGCTAAGGAAACAAAATAACTTTGGGAACATGCACTTATATAAAGTTTAGCTCATCACAGACCATACACTGAATGACAAATGGAATATCGACCCTTCATTACATAATTATTATTATATCATATTATTATATATTATTTTTCTTGCAGTCAAGGAATATTTTAAAATTTCTGATTAACAGAAAGTTGGGAATAGATTTGAATTTCAAGTTCAGAATCAGAGATCTAAAAACAAGATTCTGAACCTGTATTTGCACAATTGTGGACAACTCCAAAGGCATTATAATTGTCTGTTATAATAATGACTAAAATAGGATTCAGGGTAATTGGGTGATTGTAATAATTCTTATATTTAATATCATGCCTTAATATGTTAAAACATCTCAAAGCTTTTCACAGTAAAATGTAATGACTGTATTTGTAGGTGAATGAAGCAGCCAATTTATGCACAGCAACGTCCCACAAACAGAAAGCAGTGAATGATCAATTCTATCTGGAGAATTGTTGGCAGGACACTGAGAACAGATATGTCAAAGGAATCTTCTGGGGAGTTGGATGAGTAACGAGATGAACACATGGTTTGCTCCTTCCTGTTGCTATGTGACCAAATATCACGCGTTAAAAATATCAACACAAAACGTGAATGGATTTACTGCCATCTCCTACCTTCCACCTTCTTTTTCTAGTTTCTCGATCAACGCTTTCCGCGCCTGCATCCCTGAAGTGCGTGGCAGCGTTTGTGATCTCATCACCTCTTTCCGCTTCTCGGCCTGTCTTCTCTCTAGTGCTTGCACGCTGTCATCTCGGTCGAAAATACTGGGGAAAGCAAGCCCAAGCCATTATTACTCACGAATATCCTGGTGCTCAGAATTGTCTTGGAAGTTTCTGTTTTGCTTGTGAAAATATATAGCCTTCTATTCCCTCCTTCCTTGAACCCTTTACACAGTCTCCCTCTACACATTGGACCCTACTCCCGGTTCATTCTAAAGGTAACAAGTCACCTCTCACCTGCCGACTTTCTTGGAAGAGGTGCTGCTAGAGCTGAAGGAAGACTTGGTCTGAACAAGAGTCGTTCCACCTGTGAGAGAGAGAGAGAGAAAAACACAGAGGATAAGACAGTCATAAATTCAACAATCGCCCACTTAGCGCATTCTCCCCCGGTTCATGAGCCCTCTGCCGCAGTGCTCTATAACCAGCTGCCACAAGGTCCAGGAGAGCACATCGTACCTTTTAATCTCAGAAGTAGCAAAGTTAATACAGTGGCTACAAATACACAGTGACTCCATTTCACAATAATTCCTGTGAAGCGCTGTGAGACGTCCTTTCAATGTGATAAGCGCTCTGGAACGCTACCCCGTGTGAAGGGCGCTATATAAATGTAAGTTGTGGTTGAAAAGGTGCTATACCGATGCAAGGAGTATTATTACTATTAAACACCGCTAAGTTTGGGAGCAGAGACTATTCTGACATTCTGCTTACCATCAGTTTTCTTCACAAAACTGGATTGCACAGTGGTGCTTCGTGTTCTGCTGCCGCTATCTGAAAGAGCAGAATCATATACAGTCAATAATAATAATAATCCTTACATTTTGATATAGCGCCTTATCACATCTTCAAGACGTCTCAAAGCGCTTCACAGAATGTACTGTAAAGTGAATTTCACTGTATAGTTTGTGGGCGAAACAAAGTCATTCTACATATTGCGAGAAAGTTAATAATGAACTAATCCCAGCACAATCCAGGTGCTCAATCCAGATAACCAGTCTTCAATCCAGAATGACTGAAATCTCTCTCTCTCGTTATTAGAAATATTAGAACTCTGTAACATCACACTGAATAGACATTGTTACTATAGATAACCCCCTGGAAATAACCACCCGGGTCGAAAGAAATGCTTGGTGGGAGGGGTATATGTTCTACAAAATATTCTAGGTTGTGCCTGAACGAGTGATGACATGGGATTCCTCGGCCCACTAGACTGATGTGTGCCCATGGCCCATCCTATTTGATTTGGCAAATGGGCAGCTCTCCACATCTCTCCATTACCTGATTCGGTGACTTTCTCAGTCTTTGTCATCGAGGACACAGTCTTGCCGTCTGCAGATTTTTCTGTTTTGGACACAGTCATCTCGGCTGCATTCAAAGACTTTGCTTTCTTCTCTTCCTCGGATTTCTGCTTTAGTTCCTGCAGTCTTGTTTCACGCTCCTTCTCTCTCTGATCTGGAGAAACGAAAGCGGCGGGAGAGAGAGAAAAAAAACCTTGAAAATTCACAGCCTGTACAAGGGCACTAACAAATGATTCCACTGTGAATTTAGGCAGAACTTTGAACAATACTGTCCGAGCTCTAATACCTTGTATAGCTGCGATAATGATTAAATATTGCTATCTAAGTAATTAGGTTATCAGTTCAAGTTAGTTAAACTTTTGAATGAAACATTGAAAAGCACTCAATTTTCGCAAGTATGATAATATGCACTCTTCATAATCATACTGTTTTGTATTAAGAGTAAACATTTAATAAAACACTGATTCCCACTCCCACTTTTCACTAAAATCCAGGGACCTGACTGAAAACAACAACTTAAACAATCCTATCACGGGGATTTTAAATCTTTTGTTTCCTCATTCTGTTAAAATCTGGTTGTATTGGCTTTCAGATCATCAACAAGCGGTTGTAGTCACTCACAGGGTAAAATCACAGCCACTAATTACATGAACCTGTCTGTGTATCATAGCATGTGAATATTATCACTCGTAGGAAACAAAGGTGTACATGATAAAAAATAATTAAAAGTTATCAGATATCCTATCACCCAGAGCCATACCTTCCTCCTAAGCTCCACTCGCACAACAGTATCTATGAAGGCATGGTGTTAAGAAAGAAGAAAAGAACAAGGAGAAGCTTATTCTGGGTTATGCAGGCACGTTCTTGTTATAGACTCCCCCCCACCACCCCCAGAGAATTTACAGAAGAGACCTTCATTCTCCCTGAGAGGCATAATAGAACGATGAAATGGAAGGATGAGAGAAGCAGGGAGGGAAAGTGAGAGAATTCTAAAAAAAAAAAATTTGCATTTAAGAGTCGGGAAACCAAAATGCGGGTCAGGAAATGCAGCTTTAAATAATTTGAATGGAGTGACGCAATTTGATCAACTATTTTGAATAAAAACGAGAATAGAAGCATTGTAACTGAAACCTTTCACCAGACACTTTGAAGATGAGAAATTCAATTGAGATGTTTTGCCCTCATTTGGGTAAGAGCGAGTGCCTTCTTTGCTTCCCAACCTCTGCCATTAAATGAGAATATCAGCCATCGAGAGACATGCAATACAGTCTTCCTGTGGCATTGCACTTCACCCACACTTGACAACTCCCCACAGTACAGCAACTAAGGTCACTACCTCAACATGTGGAGGGTGACAGATTATTCCTATAGTATGCGTTATACAATCACATCCTCTCAAATCCTAATTGAAAGCACGTACCTCTTTTCTTTTTCCGAAGATCCCTCATTGCACCTCGAATCAGCTTCCTTTGCTCAAAATCTGTTGTCTGGTCAAGCTTCAAAACATGGAGAAAAGAGAGAAGTTGGAAATAGATGTTAATTCAAGTAAAACTCCTCTCTCAATGTCCCAGACTCGCAGTTTGGTGGAAACGCAGACAGTTTCTGAATTGCCTTCAGTAACAGAAAATGAGATTCATTAAGTCAAAGGGATCAATGAGTCAAAGCTAAACCTAGACAACCTTTAATATTCCACCTCTCCAAGCTTCTATCCAATTCCCTTTGAAAAGAATGTAAGGATTCTGCCCCAACAGCAGTTTGTGGTTGAGAATTCCACATTGCAACATCCCCTTGTGTAAAGACCATGATTACAATGTAAACAATAGGCAATGATTTATCTGGTCCTGAACCCACTTACTGTACTTTAAACAGAATTAATCAGGGAGATTTCTGTGTTGCACACGTACCATTTTGTCCAGGACTTCCTCATCCTCAATCGTGCTCAAATCCTCCAGACTCGGTTTGACATTTTTCTCTTTTACAATCTCCTTCGCCTTCTCTGCAACCCCATTTGCTAAGACACTATCAGTCTGCTGAAACTGAGCTGCTTCTGCCATGATGGGTTCCGTGTCCATCTACAGAGACAAAAACACATGTTCTATTCATTTCATTGCTACAGCTATGTGCTCTATAGTCTAGAGACTGGGTACAATCGGCTCCTCAAACAGTGATAATAATCCCTCCCCCGTCAAAATAATAATTATTTGGTCATTCAATCCACTGTGCGCAATTGGTTGTCGTGTTTCGCCCACAAAATACAGTCAATTCACTTTGTATTATATTCTGTGAAGCGCTTTGAAACGTCTCAACTACGTGATAAGGCGCTGCGTCAAATGCAAGGATGATTATTATAATACAGCTTTTGTTTTTCTTTCTGTGGTTCTTTTGGTGGTAACATGCAGACATTGACTTGGCATTGTTGAGCTGCCGTGCTCTATGTATTTCTAAACAAATGGAAATAATACAAGAGACTGGTGGTGGGAAAAATGAACTTGGGACCCATTTATTTTATACACAGCCATAAACCTCAGAAACTTGGTACTCTTAACTATCAATAACTTTTTCGGAGGCAGGGATTGTTTGAAGCACACAAGTAGTCGAACAATGATAAGTGTTTACATTTTGAGATGAAATATCTCCAACTAAAGGAGCACAGTTGAAATGTTTATTACATTTAAAAAATTAAGCCCTAATATGGTCAAATTCGTCAAAGAAAATTGGGTTACTTTAGAGGAGAAGGAAAGTCTATCGGAGTCATTTCTGTTTATAATTTCCCTCTGTTGAATCTGAAAAGGATCTTGTTATAACTACAGTATAATTATTATTTCTTGTGAAATTTGCTCGATTTCCAAAGAGACCAAGAGCAGTCATGTTTGAGAGCCACCCAGCACTTTGAATAGGAAAGTGCTTGCCTTGACTTTCCCCCTCCTTTAATGAAGGGCTATTTACTTTGCTGGTGCTGTACAAATTGGTAGAAATTGAGAGGGGTGAATTATTAACATTTGGGATTAAATTACCACTTGTCGATTCTTTTCACCCCCATAGAAGTCACTGAACACTGTATAATCACAGCCCATAGAAAGCTACGGTGCAGGTGGAGGTGTGACTCACCATTGCAAACTATCTCTTTTCTTATTGATTTCAACAACAATCTCATGAAACTATTTAAAAGTAGTGTTAAGTGTGCAAGTGATTACAATAAAATTGCTTACAAATTCCCACATTAACGATTGGTATAAGAATACCAGGGAGGTTGATTTATGCGTGTTGGGCAGTTAACGAAATCTGACAGTGCGTATAGAAACTGGGAAATATGCCAAGTTTCCAAAAGAAAGATGCTTTTTTATTCTCTTTGTATATGTTACTGACATTATCCTGAACATACAAACATTTTGTGTGGCAGACTAGGAGGTTGTGGCTTCAAGCCCCACGTCAAGATAGTATAAGACAACACTCCAACTAAGCACAGGGCTGTATTTTGGATGAGATGTTAAACCAAGGTCCTGTCCGCTTGTTCAATGGGACATTGGCTTCTGTGTTTCCCCATAAATACACAGTCATTCCACTTCATAGTAAAATCACTTTGGAATATCCTCCCCATGTGAAAGGCACTCTACCAAATGCAAAGATTATTATTATCTGTACAACAGAGTTCAAGAAGGTACATGTTAAAGATTGTGAAGGACAAGTTTAGAACAGGCAGCAGGAAGTATTTCTTTACACAAGAAGAAATCAACAGCAATGGTTGATATCAAGATGTTGAACTGTGTGTTCTGGAAGGATGATATCAAAATGCCTTCTTCATCCAAATAACCTTTGAGAACAGTTCAGTATTCGGTGCAAGCAATACTCAAGAGAACACAGGGCCATTGTTTCATGTACGTGTACATCCACGCACTGAAATATCAACACGACTCTTCAGTAATGTTCATCAGCTCAGCTGCCAGTATTAAAATAGACAACAAAAGAATAAGGAGCATTTATTTAGTGATTGGGGGGGGGATGCTGGGTGACCCATGTCCACTGTAATAATGCAGCTGCTCTGCTACATTTCATACCTATGTCAACAATAGCAACATTAGAACCAGAATATCACCATCACTCAATAAACCTGCAGTAACGTCATCACAACTGTTAATCCTTCAGAGTGGATGTTAGCAGATATCAGCTGGCATCAATAACCACTCTTTCTTGGAGAGAGAGATTAACTGAAGTTCAACAGATAACAAACCCCTACCACAGAATCGTTACATGAAAATATGTAGCTTCAAGTAGGTTCAATGCAATAACCTCATTTGGTCATCCACTTCCTGTTTGTGGGGCATTGCTATGAGCAAATCAGTGTGGCGTTTGCCTACAAAAAATGCACGTTCTGAGTCTGTATTGTACATTAGCAGACATTTCACAAATGGGAATGAAGAAGAATGTAGGCAAGGGGTACAATAATAGCTCTGTATAGAGGATGATGTTGGTTATAGTTTGCAGATTTGGCCCATAAAGACACTGCTCATTCCCGCTCTGTCAAACAGTATTCTATTCTGTACAATCAGCCTTCTTCCCCACTCAGTGATGAAATATAGACCATGCGAAAAGGAAACAGTAAAATAATTCCACTTAGAATAAAAACCCCACCGATGACTCAATTCATATACCATGTAATCAAATAGAATATAGCTCCCATTAGATTATCGACTTGTAGTAAAAATCATAGCATATCCCATAAAGAGCAGCAGTATGTACCTCAATGACCCAGAAACATTGGCGCCTTCAGTATTAAAGGCCTGATCTTCATCTGATCACTGGCCAATTCTTTTAATTGCCTCTTTAGTGAAAGTATGCATGTAAGTTCAGCCTGAAGCAAATAAGCCAGCATCAGGATTACAATTCTTTTAAACTATAGTCAACATAAGTCAGGCTTTTTTTTTAATATAGCCTCTCAGGTTGAAGTAGCAAAGTTCAGTGCCTTCTTTGGGCTGAAGACTTCTGTTCACTCTTTGAACCAATGCCAGGAACGCTGAAACTTCAAACGGAGTCAACCGTTCATTTAAACTCAAGTCATGGTTTTCTCCTAAACCTGCCAGTCAGGCAGCTCCAGATGTAGGCTTGCGGCAACTGCACCCCCACGTCCACACCTCAATTCCTAGCTGACGTTCCATGCAGATGTCCCACATCAGTGAAAACATTTTACTTCACTCTTCGTGTCTGCAGCTCTTATAAGTCTCAATTCCTTTAACATAAGAAAAAGAAAATTCCATCTCTGAAAAGAGTTATTTTCCAGTTGGAATTGTATTGCGAGGTTTCTTTACCAAGAGGCTGACTGACTCAGCAAATATCACCAATTACAGAAGAAAGCATTCTATTAAGTTAATGAGCAATTTGGGAGGGAGTGTAAACTAGATGGGTTGTATGCTTTATTTCCTCCATGAACAGGAGAGATTTCCAGTGCTCTCATGATCTTACTGCTTCTCAAGTATTTTCACTCTTTTCCTTTCTCTCTGCTCATGTATCTTTTCGTTCCATCTTCAGAATAGAATTGTTTGTGTCAGGTACTGAATACAAAGTGTACTCATAGTACAAAAGCTGTGAATTAAGTGCTCATGGGGGAATGAAACAAGAAAGTATATTCCATTAATGGTGCATGTGGATCTGAGACTCCCCTGTATTTCCAATGAAACTCTGAGTCACTTAATAGTTTGCTATCTGATCTGCCAAGCTCATGTCCTTAAGTGGGTTTGTTTTTAGCTCTGTATGTCTCACCCTTGTACCCAAGTCTTTTGGTATCTTATTCAACCTTGCCCAAATCAAGCTTGTCCAACTTGTCTGTGGGAGAAGTATTATATAAATCTCTCATTAATTCCACAACTGATCTGTAATCTCAACCCCCTAAAACTATTGTTTGTTGCTTGGCTGAGATTACTTTTGCACTTGGAACAAAAAATGTCTGATACTGTACATTTGTTTTCTTTCTGGAAGAATAGATTTTATTTTCAGTCAAGGGCAAGCTAACAGAGGCCTCTTGTTCCGCTGATTGGCAGGGCTGTACAACGTCTCGGACAGCTGTTGTTGAACACATTCAATCCTTGTGCTCACTGATAACACACAGAATCTCAATCTGAAAGGATTGACACCCCATGTAAACAAATCAGCAGTTGGGGTTTGGCATTTGCTGCAGCTTGGCATAACATCAGAGTCAGCAGCTTCCAGGGACAAACGTATTGCCTCGCCTCCCAACTGCCACAACAAGTTAAGGTCAAACCTCATAGAATACAGAGCTCTGGGAAGATTAAATGGAGCAGAGATCGCTTTCACATTTCACAAAGTGTTTACAGATCAGGCATCTGGCCCACTATAAATTTGTTCTGCAACTACATCAACTAACAGTCACTACAGTTATGGTATATCCTATGAAACGCTTTGGGCTGACCTCCCGATGTGATAAGGCGAGGTACCAAATGGAAGGATTATTATTATTATTATTAATAATTATTACCATTCCTGAGCCTAGTTGAGTATATTTCTCCATTATAAGTGGCCGCTCTTCCAAAGTAGGGTATTCCTCATTACTCTCAGTTTGCAGGCTATCCATTCTGCCTGAATTTTACATTTTAAAAATCCACTAAAATTTAGACGAAACAAAAGTAATATCGATGACAGTTTGAAATAGAGCCAAAGCATCCGAAGATCTCGTCACATTATTGATGGAAAAATAATGTAAATCACACACATTTACAGTTAACATATAAAGTTATAAGGCTATTGATATATCCATTCCTCTCGATCTGAGCTGAACGTGAAATTCAGGTCACAGGGATTGCTGTAACATGTCTGCTCAGATGGATTTGGCGGGTTTTAATTAGTTCAGCTCAGATTTGGTCTGCTCCTTCCTCAACACTGTAGACAAACATAGGAATAACATATAAATCTACCAGATAACCAAGCTTTTGCAAGCTGATGTGATATAAAGTTGACGAGACTGTGTTTAAATAACATGGCTGGATCTAATGGTTACCCCAGGCAGTAATATAAATCAACTACGATCACAGGCCCCCACATTGTCTTCAAATTAAACATCAGA